ATCATATAGCTGTTCTCAAAAAAACATCAATCTTTGATATACTAGTTAACTTTCTTTAAATACTTCCAATATTGATTAAAAAATTACAATCTTTTAAATAGTTATTAAATATAATAACATAATGTTCATATAATTTTCTATATCAATAACCGCAATCCTAATTCAGTAAATTCTGCAACCGGTCGGAATGTCATGGTTGATTGACTTGCGCAAGGTTCCGCACTTCGAAACCAACCAGGAATTTAGTGCAGAAACATTTTTTTTTGCTCTTTCAGAGTTTCACTCGATGTATGGGCTGCTTTCTTGTTTTGGGCACGACTCCATATCCGTATTATACGAAAAAGAATATCGAATATCTTTTCAACATTCTCGTAAAAGTTAAATTTCATCGTTTATTTTCTCGACGGTGAGATTCAATTACGCGATTTTACACCTTTCACCACGGTTATTGTGCTCAAAAGAGCAGCATGTATTCACAATAAGCTGTAAAAGAATGTTCAAGCGTAGAGGAATCTCTTGTGTATGTACATAGACGACTTATTTATTGCTTAACACGTTCCATTTTTAACGGAAGGTACTTAAGTACTTCTCGTATAAAGTAAACGAGGTAGCTCCTTCGGTTCGTTTTAATCGGTTGTAGATCCAGCGAAACCGATATCCGGACGAGAACTTCGTCGGATAAACAAGTAGCAACCGGTTGCGTAATTGCAGAACCATTCATCACTTTCGTCGGCGCCTGGAGCGTGCCTCTAACAGCTCCTAATGCGCAATTTCTGCTATTTTCCAACTTCACCAACCCGTAATTACAATGCAATCACCTTCACAAGAATGCGTTACAAAGAGGAAATTGTTGAAAAGTATCGTAAAATATGATAGGATTTCCTTCTAAAAATGTTATTCTCGATGCAAGATGTTATTCGCAAACACTAACACAGCAGAAAAAAGTAGATGCAAAAAAAACAAAGATTATTATTATCTTTTTTCAATGCAAAAAAAGTGAAACTATTTAAATACATGGAGGCGTTATCCTTCACATGTACTTTATGAAAGTTACTATTGTAGTCATTACTAGGTAATAACAGAAAGTTGCTGTTTTAGTATTTCTTGTTATCTTCTTAAACCTAGTGAATCATTTAAATTCTCATTTTGCTAATTTAGTAATTAAGAAATCCTTAAGGTAAGCACTTTAATTACCAGTTTTTAACTTGACGTTTCCTTAAATAGCCACTCGCGGTTTTTGTGACTCAAACTGGAGTTCCATACCGTTCAAATCGCGTGGGTTGTCGATGATGCTGCAAAACGTAAAGTTCCACGGTACGTGACTGTCACAGTCTGCTAAGCAGTTTTAAATGCACAAAGGGATACGCTACCGACTCCTTCTTCTCTCTATGTATATCTGATTATCTCGTATACCTCCTAAGAAGTAATTACCCCCCTTTTCAAACACGTGCCAAATGGTCTTCCTGCCATTGAAACTTCTTCTGTTCGTTATGTTAATGAGGAAAGAAAGCGAGAGGAGATATCATACAATATACGAATCATTTCGCTGTTTCTTCAAGAGTGAAACACTCACTGTTTGTAAGTGAAATGATTCGTTTAAGAATTTAAGAGGAAAAGTTTTTTTTCCTTAATAGGTTTCTAATTGTTTATTTTTTATGGAGCGTTATAAAGAGTAATGTTGTGAATTATGGAAAATTCTAGGTGGAGCTGACAACAAGCACCTTGAAATGTCCCAATATAATACAATGTACTGCGGTTGTGACCATGAGCGAGTACCAACCAGGCGACTACATACAGCTCGTTCATATACAACCACGTGTTGAATTCGACTTACGCCCACCAATAGGTTGACATTTCTGGCATTCTTCTACCTCTGACACTCCTTTGTGTGCCGCAAGAGCGACTCGACGTCAGAGGAAGGTACAGTTCGACGAAACAATGCTCTCGGTTACTGGGGAATGAGTCACCCCAATCGCATATAACCATTTATAATAAAATAGACAAACCATTACTTATTATTATCTAAAATTTCTTTCTTTACAGACAAACCGATTTTGCATGCTCTCACAAACTAAATACTTCACCATCTAAAACCGGTTAGTAAATCTTTCTTAAGTTAGACTTACGCAAACTTTTTCTCATCGTTTTGCATGGATTATTGCCGAGACCGATCGGTCATTATCCTAGAAAATCTGGGGCTTCGACAAAATAAACGAAAGAGGTGCTGCTGAGTGATGCAGAGACGCAATCAACCAATTTCGCTTTCATCAAACAAGCTTTCTTGAGCAAACCGAGTCACGGTATTCAAACAAAACTATGCCATTGTCTGTAAATCCTTTATTATCATTACAACATATCAGAATGCCTATTCAATGTACCAGAATCAGACGAGTGAATAAAAGTTTTATATCCAAGATGTGGTGACTCAAAATTACTGAGAAAAAAGTATTATTCTTTTATATTTTTTAGTTTAAAATATGTCGTATGATTCATTTCGTAAAGATATAAAAAATCTTGGTGAATTTATTTTTATTGTGGGAAATTGTGAGGAATATGTGTGTTATTAATGTTCTGTTATAATTACACCTATAAATTTAGTTTTTGTTACAAACTCGCAAATTCCTTTTTTTTTGTTATGAATGAATAAACTTTTAATGACTTAATAATGATTTGTATCCGTATCATGTACAAATTATTGTGTCAGAAAGGCTTAAATCACGCTATTTAGGTGTCTATCTCGAATGATATGCGATTGTGTTTAAAGATGAGAAAATGCGTAAAGTTACTATTATAGCATTTTATTCATTTATTTTAGTTCAAAATGATATTTAGATTCATTCTAGTATATCTAGAAAGGAAATGAAGTGTTCTTTGTGACTGATGAAGATGTTGACAAGCATGCAATTTTCTGGCTTTATTTTAATATAGTTTTTACAACTAAACTAGTAGCAAATTTAAGCAGTTTTGACACTTTTTTACCTTTTCAGACAAAGATTTTCTCCAATATAGGTCGATAGCAAGATATATACCAAGAATCTTCATTACATTTGTTTCTTATTTTTATTCTTATTGCAAAAATAGATATAAACGTATACAACATTCCCGAGAAGCTAACAAAGAATATTTTAACTGCAATTAACATTTTAAGTTCTAAGAATAAAGAAAGATATAACTATTTATCAAAACATTTCAGTGGTTAATTTAAATTTATTGAGCAGTTTGCTTCCAAGAAGTGATGGCTCAAAAAGTCTACAAACATTTTCTGCATTTCTATTTTATTTAAAACCATCGGTTGAATCATCTTATAAAATTCTAATTTTGATGCTTTCTTGACTAGTTTAGAAATATATTTTTAATTGGAATTTTAGAGACGATGAAATTAGAGGATTATTAAGTTACTAACTAAAGCAGGTTCGCAGAGAATTGCACTTTGAGGTTCAAGATGATTGAAAGCACTTTGAGGTTGGATATCCTGCCACCCCAACATTTTGAACATTTTGATATCTGATAGTCTGATGTATAACGAACCGCATAATAAAACTGTAACCAATTTCCTGATCAAATTGTAATACCTGCAAATTCTGGAGACGGCTTATTATCGGCGTTGGAATTCCTAAACTGTCTATGTTTTGACCTATATCACTAAATCGTAATAAATTCAATCTACATAAGAAATTGTCATATGGATAATGTTCCCAATTCAGCCGACTTTTCAAGAAATTAGCTAGCAAAAAATTATAGGCGATAGGTCTATGCCAACCAATGCCTTATTGGCAGAACCCAACCTTAGACAAGTTTATGGTTGGGAATTCGCTAAGTTTTAGCCATCGATACCATCAACTGCGGTGTTTGTGGTGTAGATCATCAGCGAAGAAACCAACGTTTGTGATGAAGAACACGCACTCCATTTTCAAAAATAAATATTTTCACTTAACCGAAGTTTTTGCACCATTCCAAGTTTCCTCTGCGCATAAAACTTTTCACTTTGTGTTTCTTTTGTTGTATATCTAAACTTGCAGGCAGATTAGAAAATCCTGCACATGTTAGGATGGGCATAACATTCCGTTTCTTAACCAACAATATATGACGTTTAACGAAAATGATGAAAACTTCATTTTGAAGCATTCAAACACAAACAAAAATTTATTTGTTTTGTTTCCTTTTTACACTTCAACCATAAAAATCTGCATAAATATTAAAATCAGGTTTTATATGGAGCACTACCGCTCCAATTAAAAGCAGAATACTAAGGAAATGAATCGAAAGAAAGCGAAAGGAGGACTTAAACTATCATTTAACCGACTAGTTTTCTCCATTTCAAAGCAGAGTTTGCACTGTAAACTACAAAATAGGAAGTTTATTGGTGGATTGGAATAAAGATTCTACTTTACGAGTAAAAATTTTATATATTTTACCCCAACAATAAGAATAAGTTTCGCTGAATACATTTAAAAAAGAGATTTCAATGATCAATAAGAAAACAAGTTTAAGGTTTTAAGTTGTAACATTTAACGTAAAGTGTTATATTTTCCGATAATATAACATTGTACACTCCTTAGAAATAAAATGAAAATCGATTGGTTGTGGTGATGAAACGAGTTCAGAAAAATTATGTAACGCGGTTATCTCGGGCACAAGCCGGCCTACAGGCTTCTGGCACGTTCTGTGTCGGGACACGTGTGTGTTAGTATAAGTCTGTATGTGTATATACAGCGCCGGTGGCCAATTCTGAACACATTGGCGATTGTCTACAAGCCAAGGCAGTCTGGTTTCGCTAGAATGAAAGTCATACGGCTGTTGATTTACTTTCGATATCCGTTCGAGTTGGTTCTCTAACGGTTTTTATTCTTAACTATTACAATTTACGTTCAATAAAACCACCGAGTTTAAAATTGCAAATTAATAAAATCAAAATCAAAACAATAAAATCATTAAAAATATAAATAAAATAATAAAGCTTTTTTATGATAATTGTTAAAAGAAAATAAAAAATTACTCACGATTTGTTTCAGTTATGAGCTCTTAAATCGCTGTATTTCCGAAGCACTATATCATATTATACACTTATTAGATCCGAAAACCACAATTAATAACTCCAAATGTGAAATCTGTAATTAAAAAGAAATGTAAGTTTTTTCATTCTTAGTTTAAGTGAAAGTTTCTTAAGTACAAATAAAGAAAAGTAAACATTGAAGATGCTTGTGACACAAAAACTTGTATGGGGAAGATTGAAGAAACCTTCTAAAGTCAAGATATGCGTAAATTGCATGTTTCTGAGTTGAGCGTATACCGCAATCCTTCCTTATCCCATCTGGGAATAGCCAGATGGATCGGATTCTCATACACATCCCACTTTACGTCATAAGAACGACTTCGGTAAATTCTCATGCTTCTTAGTCTATTTTTACACGATAATAATTGTGGAGTAATTGGAAGAAAAGTAGGTGATGTAACAATGAAAGTTGCGTGTTTTAATTCAAAATTTATCGAGATGAAACTGCTTTATTAATATGTTATTAAAAAATAATAAAAGAAAATAAAAAGAATTTAAGAAAGGGTGATTATATAAGAAAATTTTTGCACTTCCATGTCTTAAAGATGAAAAAAGAAAACAAATTGGGGAACTTGAGAAAGTGAAATTGACCAATTTTTTTTTTTAATTTTGTGTTTTTTTGAAATATGAAAAGTAATTAATGATAATAAATTATTAATAAATTATATACTCTTTCATTGTTAAAAATAATGTGTGGGTAAATGACTATTAAACATTAATTATAGTTAAATTTATAATTAATTCCTTGAAAAAATTCTTCATAATCGACACAAAAGAAGACCTGGAAACCTCTTCGTTTTAAATAGATAAATACAAGTCGTTAGGAGGCCAACGATAAATTAATATAATTGCCTACATCTACCATGAGATAAATTGCCACATCTTTAAGATTTCTTAATAATGGTACTACTCTAATAATTAAACCTTTTTGAATCAAAACATTAGTATTTTATTATTTTTTAGTTTTTGATTATTAAAAAAAGTCCTATTCGAATCAAATTAAAATAAAGTATCATCATTAAAAACTTTTTTAACATTACCAAAAAGAAGAAGAAAATTTATGATGGTACTAAAAATACTAACATAAAATCCGTTTGTGGGGTTGAACACTGACACAAAGGCACTCTACTATATAAAAAATACGGGACACTTTAGGGTCACCACTTGATGGTAGTCGCCAAAGAACTGACTGTACAGGTAACTTAGGTTCACCTGTTTGGTTTTGGTGGGGAAAACGGCAACGTTGGTCTGCTTTGGTGCTGCTGGCTGCTTGCAGAGAGTGTACAGCTTTTACGAACGACCACGACGATGTCGACGAAACCAAGCAATATTCCACACATTGGAGACTACCTACTTTCGATCATTGGATATTCCGGGAGAGGTGCAACAAGTTGCAAAATTGACTTTTTGAAATTTTCCTATTAAACCATTGAATACTAATACATAAAAAAACTTTTACGATAATAAAAATACTTTTAAACGTTTTTTTAATGATGATTTTATTCTATGACATGTTGAATATTTATCTCCAGACACAGTAGATACAAGATCGTTTAAAAGTCCAGTCGTCAAACTATGCGTGGTATCGGAAAACCCAGATGACATTGAAGCCTTAGAAATAACCAGTTGGACGTAATTTATAGCGACAATAACCGCCGAGTGATGCATAGTGATAATTCTTTCAAGTTTAAACGACGGAGAGAAACAATTCTTATCGCGCTCTTCATATCTTAATCGTAACGAGCAAGAAACACCACGTTAATTTACATTTTTAATACACAAAAAAAAATGTTTTACAACTCAGTTTTAATTCATAATCTTGAAAATGGGATTAACACGTTTTTATTTGTAAAGTATATTTGAGAATAAATGAATCATCTGGGGACGTTATGGTCTACCTGTTGCGTCAAAAGAAGACGGTTGGGTAGCGGATGTAGACGCAAAACTAGGGTTTTGTTCTTTGGCCGCAGTGTAGCCCAAGGTTAATTCCAACCGACCGTTTGGATCTTTAATATTCGTTACGAACCATGAACGAATGGTGAATACGAAAGGAACTTGACGATTTTAAAACAATGAGATTGTTTTAAAAATTGGAAAATCTATTTTTTTTTCATTTCGACCTTCGAAAGCTTTTAATTTTACAATTTGTAAATACAATTTGTGTTTGAAAAATAATATTCATCATCAATATCTATCAATGTAAAACCATAGCTAAGAATTTAATTATATTCAATATTAAAATTATTATAAAATGATATGCATGAGCAGTTGATACTAAAAAAGAGGGCGAAAGTAGTTGAAGATTGTAAAGTTGGGATTTTATCAGTATGTCCTTGAATTTGTTCCAGTTCATTTCTGGTACCAAATTAAAGAGAGCAGATTGAACAATATTTCAATAATAGGGCGTGAAGCGTTTCACTTTTGTAGCAATACCCACAAAAAATGTATATATTGCAGTTTCTTAAAAGTACGATTGTTTTGAAAATACAAGTGAATTGCAGAAGTGATTGATTCAGTGAGACTTCAAATAAATCTGCCATCTTTACTTGAATTACTTGATTTTTTAGATATTGATCAAAGCTTGCCAAGGTTGAGCTGCAGCCAATGTAACTGATGCTTCTAGATAAAATTGCTTATTGTCAATCAATTTTTCCTTTAGAAAGTTTCTAGCTTAGATTTACATTACTTCTTAAATTAGTTCTGGCCGCTTATAAAAGACTCTTAATCTAAAAACCATAAACCCTAATCCTGCCATAAACAAAGCAATCCAAGCTAAATTAATATCATGCGCGCCAAGCCGAATCCATATGATCCACAACGAAACCAAACTCAACCTAAACCACACATTCTACATCATACAACCAAACTATACCGAATCCAGACTCAACCCAAACTATATAAGTCAAGCATTGATCGCCTATAGGGATTAGTCATAAATTAAACCCAACCTACTTGCACTCAAAACTAGCCCCAACTCAATACGACCACACTGCAACAAGAACCAACACAAAACTGAAGCACAACGCATACCTAAGCCAGCTACAAAGTATGCAGTATTTGTCTAATACACAACTAAACCAAACACCACCTTTCGAGACCAGATCCAATCTTAACCACGCATACCAAATAATCCACAACCTAACCCGTGCACTCAGATATTCTACCACAAATGTGGAAATCAGATAGTACAAAAAAGGAAATAGTTCACCAAATTGGAAATATTTAGATGAAGCTGTGTATTGTTGTAGATAGCTAGTTTGTGGTATAAATATAACTACTAACACCTGGAGAGGCGTGGATGAACACAAACAATGCATTGGTAGTGACAGTTAATACAGTAGCTTCAATACAGAAAATAGTTACTATTAAACTTGAAGTATTGAATATTGTTGATTCGTGGAAGGACCTGAAGCTATCTACCTTGAATGTTAAACAACAGTGGCTAGATGAATTTGAAGAAAATTAGGGATACCAGATTCTTTCAAATGAGGAGATAGTTGTAGATGTAGTTAATATCCATCACAATGGCAGTGGATGTAAATTATCTAAAACTATTGGATATGAGTAGCTGTACCGACCTAGTTTACCTAGTATACTGTAGTTTGTAAAACAAAGCAGATTTTATGATTTGAGCTTTCATTATGAAAATCTCAAGATTCTTTGAAAACCCATAATCAAAGCTTACAGTGGAGAGATTTTTAATCAATTGTCTAAATTCTTAGTTAGTGTTAGTTTAGGCTTTACTATTAGAAATAAATTTGTGATGTGGAAAAATAAAAATAAAGATTTTTGATTTCTTTTCAAAAAGTTCTTTAATTCGCTTTTTGATTCTAAGCAATTAGATTAATAATTCTAGTAATAAATCGTTTTCTAGTTTAACTGCTCCATTAAATAAAACTTTATTGGTTTCACTTTTATTTGAAAATATTCAATTAATTATTTCTTTATAAGCTTATTTATTTCTAAAATAAAAAGAAAATTTGATTGGTATTTTGAGAATTCACTACTGACACACAAACACTTTATTATCATTTGCCGCTCATTAATTATTAAATTGTAGGATAGTCGGATAGTTTACGCAAGAACACCGTTGGCCAATACGTTAGAATGCCGATAGCCAACGCAGATATGCCCGGTTCAAAACGGTTTTCTTAGCCGTTTCATTTCGTAGAGACGAGAACCATCTGCGTGCTTGAAAGCTTATTGGTATAAGTACCAAATCGAAACGTGCAAAAAATGCCATTGTTTGTCGATATGCCACGCAACTTGGCAATTTAAAAAAATATATACTGTTCTTGGCGAACGGGCTTCGAAGTTATTAAGAAGTTAGGCTCGTATAGATTTGCGCAACAGCTTTCGAACTTTTACTCTCGTACCTGGAGGCGTGGTCCCATTCTAAAAGGAATGCGAGCAGTTTATAAAACAGATTATCGCATGATACACAAAAAATAAATTTCCCCATTTGTTCTACTACTTAGAAATTTATTAACATCATTAAATTTACAAGAAATAAAAGATTGTTTTTCCTGTTTTCGATGTAAAGAGTTTTTTATGGCAATTATTAATGCAGATTATGATTTAGTTGTTTTTTTTTTCGCTACGAGTGGAAGTTTTTGAGATATATGCTTGGGTTGATTTTAGGAATTTTTCCATTAAAATGAAAGTTTTCTGACTTTCAGAATCGATATCTTTGCTAGTTGTGTAAATTCCATAATAAAACTTTTTTATTCTTAATTAATTCTCGAATTTTAAAATTATCCAAATAGAGATTTGAAATCAAATCAACCAAGATTCTAAATGAACTGGATTACCGCTACCTTAACCTTTTCAAAGGTTGTTGTTCAGCTTGTTGAGTTGCATGCAAAGCAGTAAACCACACTGGGAAAGAAATTTATGGCATCCGGCCAACTTCCGCTTAATTAAACGTTCCTCTGGCTTGCAATTAGCTTTATTCTGCATCAACTCTTTGTCTACGGGCCTCCAATTTTATTATGTAAACGTGATTCTACCTTCGAGAGTACTCAACGAAAGCTATTTTACATCTTTAAGATATGAGAAGAATAACCGTTAGATGCAATTTTTTTTCTTTTTTACCAACATAAATTGTTCACGGAGACGGAAATTAATTCCTTATGCGCATAATTCTTCCAAGAATATGACTTAAACTGGTAATTTACATGAAGATATGTTTAAAAACAAAAGTTTTCATAATTGTTTTAACATTTATGAGGAGTAAGAAATTATTGATTTTTATGTTATAAATAATGATTCACTCTATTGTTTTAACAATAATTAAATAAAATTAAAACAATCTCGTGTCTTATAAATGTTGTGTATTAACACAAATTAACACAATTTAAACAACTAAAACTGATTTATTTAAAAATCTTATAACGTCTAAATAATCAACACTAAATTAAATACACTTTAAAAATAGCTAAAAATGGGAAAAAACTTTTTTAAAAAGAACCTTATGATAATAAGAAAAAAATATTTTTTTCCTGTTTATAAATATCGATATGAGAATTCTGAGTTATGCCACTCCGTGTAAAAATGGTGTATTTCCGTTTCTATTGTCTCGAACAGCTCCATAACTATAAGCACTCACGGTTACTCCATTAGCTTCTTTCTTAGGCCAAGCTTGGCTTTTGTAACTATTACAAGCTATAAGGCTGTTCATTCCAGCTGGTCTACTTCTTTCTATTGAGATTCCGTTTCCAATACTTCTAATACTACAAAAAACGAAATATAATTATTATCGTAATTATTAATAAATCATTTTTATTTTGTTTTATCGTTCAGATTTGTTCTGATTATAACTACATTAGTGAGTCATAATTAATTGGAGATTGGTTGGAAAACTTTCAAAGTGGTAAAAGGAATTATTTTGAAATCGAATGGCAACAACCTCTAAACATAAAATTACAAACTTAATTTGTTAACACAACAAATTCAAAAACAATTCTTACTCAATTACAAAACAAAAAGATTTTTTTCCTTCTCTCATTCAAATCTAGAACCATACCAAATTTGTTTTCACCTTCAAAGGTCAACCTCAACTTTAAACTTATTTCGAACCGACTATACATTTTCGAAAGGAATTGACGCCCACTTTTACATAAAAAGAGATTAACAACCTCGACGACATGCAACCGACCAATTTCATCGATCATTTCGTTTCATTCGTTTTCTTTTCGCACGTTCTCTCATTCCCTCACCTTTATTTCTTCAAACCAACCCAATCGACACATTAAATTTATTTTATGTGGATTAATAAATTTTAAAACCAACCACAAATCTTACCTTCTCGTGCTTTCCGCAATGCTGGTTACAGCCGATCGTACGCTACTCGCGATATCTCCATTCGACATTTTATCCGCGTCTTTGATTTCGACGTATTCTCGAGGTCTCTTTCCGAATATTATGAACATTGCTACAAATAACCCTACGAGCAAGTGTAAGCCAAAAATGAACATTGTTGCGTTTCTAAATCCAACGCTATCGAATAAAATCCCGCTCACTGAAGGCCCTATAAAGGCTCCAAAAGCAAAAGAGCTGGTCCATAACCCTGAGATTAATCCGTGAGTTTCCAAATTGTTCTGAAAACCGTGAGTTCTAAAAGAATAGAGAATAATAATAGAAAATAAGCGGTTGTTTTGCAATTTTTATGTTGGTTTTGCGAAGGACGTTTGAATTAAACAGGATATTTATGAAATTAATCGCTTATTGTATATAATTACGAAGAAAGATAAAAAATTGATGTGGTAATAATCGATGTATGTAACATTGATCGATTAAAATTTTAATTAGATCAAATATTTTACTTACATACTGGTTCTTAAAGCATCTGAAAATGATGCTACTAATTGAGCTCCAATTCCTAATCCATGAATTACTAATCCCAAAACTGTTACCCAAAGTACTCTAAAATCAATAGAAATTTATTGAGTTATAGGCAACCAAAATAACATTTCTTATTAGACTTACGTGTGTTGTTTAATAAATGGAGCTGGTCCAACCAAAGCAAAAGCTGTAGCAACCAAAAGTGTTCCAGTAAAAGTAATGAATTTGGGGTGAACGAAATTGTCACAAAGCCATCCCCAAATAGGTGCCATTAATGCATAAGTTCCACCGTTTATAACAAACATTATTCCCAAAATAACAGGTGATAATCCAAATTGTCTTAAATGTGGTTCTAAAGTAGCTTGTAAAAATCCTATGGACATACTTGTAACCATTATACTTGCCGTTGATAATAAAACACCCGGTATCTTTAAAACTCTAAATATAGATGCTAAAAAATTATTTTAATTAATTAAATTTATTAATAATGATATTTTTTATTTACGTCCAGAATCTTCATCTCGCCCTTCGTTTTGTTTTGGAAGGACCAAATTTGTTAGGATAGCCGAGCAGAATAGAGCTCCGCCTAATACTGCGAAAGGTGTGGTATAACCACCAACTTCATATAATAGACCACCTACAGTTGGACCTACGATTAATCCTAAACCAAAACAAGTTTCTAAACAAGCCTGAAATAAAAAGATTTAGTTAGAAATTAGTGTTGAGGTAGTTTGTGGTTTTCTTACAAATGTTGTTGCTACGTTATCTGGAAATTCTTTGGCAATTATAGCAAAACTTGCAGTTAAAAAGGAAGCATTTCCCATTGCTTCGATAATCCTTATGATAAAACTGAGTATGATAAAAGGATAATGTCCTTCTACTTTATCTAAAAGCCTAAAAAATTAAATTTAATTTATATTGTTTGAGTTAATTTTTATTTTTTTATAGTTTCACAAGTTTATAATTTTATAGTTTTGAATACAAGCAACAATAGGATATTCAGATTTTCGAGATCTTTTGGTTGTTTTTAGTAATTGTAAAAATTTTGATGTTGAGATCAAACCGAACAAATTGCTGAGGAATTAGATTGTTTGAATCAGAAGCTAGTTATAACCAATATCTTCCTCTTCTTTAGTGTTTTGGTCTTAACCAGATTATTAATAGATGATTAATGTACAAGTAGTAAAAAAACTAAAAACGATAAAACTAAAGAATATAAAAAACAAGCTGTTGCCATACATATGTTTACGGAATGGGCAGCAATTTTTTATGATGTTCTTAAAACAACCTTGAGATACAAAAATGCAGTTATTCCAGGAAGACCTGCAATTTCAATCAATAATGTGCCAGGTAAAACATGACTAAAATTTTTTGTCATTAAACACCATAATATGTTCTTAAAATAAAACCGAGAATCTTGGAAAAGAAAAAGATCTTCTATGGAGGAAGTGATTACCTAACATTTAACAACAAATTTATTTGGAAACAGAAATAATAACTTGTTTAAGGTTGATTAAGGATTGGAATGTTTAATTTTAATGCCATTTATAATTGTTTTTGATCTTTATCTTAAAATTATATATTAATAACTCTCAATGAACACTTTCAGCAAAAGTAGTATTGAATTGAAGTTGAAGATGGAAACTGTACCTAGAAATGTACTTTTCCTGCTATTTTGCTTGCCATTGAGGCATATGAGTTTACTACTTTTCGTGCCACTGTTCCAAAAATATTAAATCATGATACTATTTTAATGATCACTATAGTAATTTGTCAAAAAGTTTTTCTGTTACATTTTGGGTAAATCATGTAATACAAAATTATGGGAATTGATTATTGCTTTATGGGAAATTTTATGGGGATTTGAAATCTAATTGAGATGCACTTATTGTTGTAAAGCCAAATCTCACAAATCTGATAAAGTCATTGGAAAGTATAGAGGTTTTTATAAACTTGTGTACTAATAAAAAAAATTAATAAATACCCAAATAAAATTGCACAAATTCCCGTTGTATAAATCCCACCATTAAACATAAGTTTTGGTCCCAATTTATTAATATGTCTACCATATAAAGGACTAACGATAAATACTACCAATTCAAATATACCAAATACTAAACCATATTCTGTTGCAGAAGCGCCTTTTCTTTCAGCCTAAAAAAATAAATCAACATATTCTTAAATCTTTTTAATAACTTTAATATTATATTAATCCTTGGTAAATATTTATGAATTAAAGCAATTTTTGTCGTTTAACTAGAGATAAATCTGAGTTAATGCGTGAGTGTTAGGTCCAAAAGTTCAAATAATTCCAACAGAAGACATTAATTTTTTTTCTCTCGATCTCGGCGTCTTTGCTTGTCAAAATAGTTAGATAACGTCGACCATCCCGATAAAGGCAATTAGTATGTTTGCCTACATATTATCCGTTTATCCGAATGTCAAACACGATGCGCACTATAACTATTTCTTGCGTAGAGAATGATAACGTGTTATGTGTGCGTTTTTTAACGCATTAAGTATTGAGAAATTATTTCAACAAGAATTTCTTAATAACACAACAACTCATTTAATTTTCTTTATTAATTACTCTAAATTTTAAGAATTAATAAATATTATTCTAAATTAACTAAAATCTTTGAGAAATTAACAAAATTTTAGTTTAATTAAATGATTTGAGTCAAAAATAGCTTTATAGATTACCTCTTGTGGATAAAATGGTGCTTGCAGAGAAACACATATTGCATTAAAAAAGTCCGCAATACCGATAACAATTAAAGTTAACCACTGTCTTTTACTAAAATTCACCATTTTTAAAAAATAATTTAACTTGTCCTTTTTAAATTAATTTAATTCTTAAATTGCACTTAACACTCCACGTGTAAACGTTGACATTAACACGAAGAGACAAACTTTTTGGCACTCGTCCGTTCGTTTTTGCGTTATCACAAGAACACACAATCGTCTGTCATCGAAAGAGTCGAAAATCGACGAGAACGACAGAGTCAACGATGAGATTCTTAGTTGAAGACGAAATTTGATAATTCAGTGAGAATTAAATAGTTATTGTAGAAGAAGTCTCTATTGGTCATATTGGTTACTTTGTATTAAAAGCTTTAGTAAATTATCTTTTTATACTAGGAGAAATTGTTTCTATTGAGAATCGAGAACGATATGGAAATAATAAAGTAGTAAACGAGAATGAATAGGGGGCATTCAAATGAAATGTTGAAGTAAACTGTGGCCAGGGCTGGGTGTTGCAATTTCTTTTATTTACTCGACCCGGGATTGATAATGTCTGGGCTAATTAAGTGGATTGATAAAAGAAAAGAAAGCGTATGGAACAGTTTGTTGGCGGTAAAATTGAATTTCGAGCGAGGAAAGTTCAAAGTTGATGGGGTTCATCTCTATTACTCACTGATAATGGTGATAATGTAATAAATCTGGAGCCATAGTCCTCAACAAATTTTCAAAAAATTTCTTTTTATAATTTTTAATTTTATATTTCAATAAATTGCCTAATACCCTAACTTTCCATTAATGATTAATTAATATCTATTTAATCCCTATTAACCAATTGATAATAAAGTTCAAATTAATTAATATAATTTATAACAATTTCAGAAATAAATTTTTATTTTGTCTAACAAATTTAACCTTTGCTATTTTAATAGGATTTCATTTTATTTTTATTACATTCTGTTAACGGCTTTTTTATCATAATTATAATTAAATTATTCATCATTTTCTTACCAATTAAAAAGTAATATCAACCGATCTTAATCAAGGCGAATATATTTAGTAAAAAAAGACACGAAAGATTATCTGTTTTTTCAACTAAAAATAAATCTGGTAAACAATAATTTCTCTGTATATAAAAAAATCGTACACAATATTATAAAAAAAGAAGCATTAAGAAACTACGATTAATTTAAATCACTTTGCCTCTACAATAACATTAAAAATATTATTGAAAACAAAATCTTTGTACAACCCCAATTAATCATTCAAATGTCTAATAACAAATAATAAAGATAAAAGTTATCCAAAAAAGATTAGAATTAAAAAAATATTACGTATTAAGTAGCCAAACATTTTTTTTTATTTAAAAAAATCTGTACACTATATTATTTAAAAAAAATTATCACTCATAAACTTAATAAATAGAATATTCATTTAAATAAATTTTTAGTTAAAAAAAATACTACGATTTTTCTTGTATGGGTTCATCTGGTAACCAAACCCTAATTGGTAACCTTAAGAAAGCGTTGTTTAGGAAGTTCTTGAAGTGCCTTGCTATACTAAGTGAAGCAGCCGGTTTCATTTCGTTTATAATTTCGTCTGAGTTATTGTTTAAGAATTGATTCATGGCTTCTCCTATAACAAATAAATTGTACATGAAATAAATTATAATTGTAAATATTAAATTGTAAAGCAAAGTTATATAAATATTAGATGAAGAATTTTTATAGGATGTAACCCCTGATGATTCTTCTACAATCCTTGTACATTTGTGAGATGCAAAGAAAAATACTTAGTGTTATGGACATAATCTTCATGTTGTCAGAGAGGGTTACTGCAGTTACTCTTAAAAACTTTTACAAGAATAGAGAACATCTCTTTTCATCTGTTCTCTCTCTTAAGAGAAGAAGAGTAATCCTATAAAAAGCGTGGTAAAATCTACGAGAAATGGGATGTGCTATAAATTATATTTGTATCACTGATGCTTAACTTATTAAGGAAGAGATTGCAAAAATAGTGTCATTCTCTAAACAGATTTGATAAGAAAATTTGAAGAAACAATGAAGGTGATGCCATGGAAGTAATAGAATATGCCAAATCATTGTTGTGTACAACATTGTTAAAATTGTTTCTGGATGTGACGTCTTGATTGGGGTTGGATACAACGTGGTATTGAAATCTTCTATATGTAAGCAGGCTTACTCTGGCAAGGTATGAAAATAAGTAATTTATAAGTGAAGTAGTAAAGAGAAGGAAAGAAAATATTTTAATTCAATACATTACCTATTACATTTCCATGATTAACTATGTCACGAACTCGAAAACGGCTTTTTTGTAATTTAAAATCAACGTTTAATTTATCAATTTTCATGTATTTTTCATTATCCTTAATTATTTCTTTTCCATATATCCTTGCATAAGCATCTACGTTAACTAAACATAAAAAAAATAATAATGAAGTATAAAATAATAATAATCAATTTTTTATATTACCAAATATAGCCCAGAAATCTCCTTTAGAACGAACAGGGAATAACAAAACATTACCACTAACTTCATATTTTCCACGTATATCAATTTTTGGTAGTTTCATAGTCAAATCGATGGTGTAATGTTTAACGTCCGCTCTGTAACCGAATTATATCATCATACATAATGTTGAAATATCTCGTTAATATGCAAAGAAGTTCTTGTCCTTGAATACCTCAAATGTATGTCAAACCAAGAAGCTTTCGTTATAAATATTTTGCAAACGAAGAGCCCACCTACATCGTCACATATTTAAACCATAAATATCTTTATAGTCGCCTTTAGTTATTAATAACTTTGTTTCAAGTGTTTGAAGAAAGAGAATTAACAAGGTTAATAAACAAACACATTAACACTTACTTTATATTTGCTATGGAATAATTACTTGCACCATAAACGGTAATGTTTGTGAACAACGCTTTAATTCGAAACGGTCCCTGTCCGTTTTCCATGACAAGACGTTCGATTTCCAATGGATCTATACTGGGCACGTTGATATCTTTTAATCCACCTATTAAGTAGGGCCTTAGATGCTCAAAGGTTCCTCTTAAACATGTGTTAAGATTTGGATCTTCTCGGTAACACGGTAAAATATATTCAGCTAAAATAAATAAAAATCAATTTAATTTCATTAAATCATGAATTAACAAATTTGATTTCCTTAATCTTTATATAATCGAAATAATCTTTTCCGAGTATCATTAAAGTTTCACTTTTCTGAACCCGTGAGTCTAGTACCGTTTCACTGCCTTCAAGTGGCCTATGATGCAATACTTTCTTCTTGCGTAATATTACCGCATCCAGAACTGTGTCAATATGTTACTAAGTTGTCTAAGTTTCCTTTACTCTTTTTAGCCGAAGAAAAGGAAACCGCTATGCATGAGCATTAAGCAGAACACAGACAAAGAAATTGTTTATTTTACACGTTACGTAGTGTTATCTTGTCGAAAATGTCCAGGAAGAGGTCTGCCTTTTTTTCGCAATAATTTTATCGGTATTGTTAATTGTTATTACGCAATTTGTTAAACAAAATCGAAACAAAAGAAGCGTTATTATAGGTTTTTAAAGTTATCTAATCCTTTAGAATTTACTAGTAGGTGTTGTGTCCTAGATTTATTTGAATTAAAATCTTTGCTTTCTTCCTCATTCCAATAACAAAGCGAACGATTTGGCGGTGTAAATATTGGTGAACAAATATGTTCTTTTATTTAAAAGGAAAATATTGTGTGGTTAATTCAAGGTTTTGAGGTTTGGTTGTTTAAAGATTTGTTTTAAGGTTCGCAGAATAACAAAAATGGTAAATCAAAAAGGTTTTTGGTTTCTTTAAAAATAGGTAGATCATGATTTATAACTGATTTGTATTTGTTATGTAACTATTAAATTTAAAGTGTATGCAATAACTAAACTGCATATATAAAAAGGTTATAAATCACAACATTGATTTACAACTCTTTTTTTTATATTTTTGACCTTCTTTGTAATTTATGCAATAATAATAAATTATGCAATTTAAATTAAGTTTAATTGTTTTGTACGTGTTAGTTAAACATTTAAAATTTTATATTAATGACAATTTAAAGGTGTTAATAATGAGAAAGTTTCCGGAAAAGTTTCCATCAATTTCTAATCACCTTTTAAATTAGGTTGCTCCACCAAAATTATGACTGGAAAATATTCACAAAGTTAGTAAGTATTGCGATTTATTAAAAAGCAGAACGTACTAAATAATTAAAATTTGTTGATAAAAATATCATAGATGGCAGATTTAAGATCGCCCTTTAAAATGATATTTACCAAATTGATCCAGCTTAGCTACATTTTGAGAAATCAATTCTTGAACCTGCTCTTTATTTGACGTTTTCACTGAGAATTATTGAGGTTTGCAAAAACAATCAGAACATAGTAAATAAATGGAATTTTTTTATAAAAATGTCATAGATTGAAGATTCAAGGTCGCCCTTTAAAATAATGTTTACCAAATTGATCCAGCTTAGCTACATTTTGAGAAATCAATTCTTGAAATTGCTCTTAATTTGACATTTTCACTATTAAGGTTTGCAAAAACAATCAGAACGCAGTAAATAATAGGATTTTTTTGATGAAAATGTTATAGGTGGCAGATTTAAGGTTGCCCTTTAAAATGATATATACCAAATTTATCTACCTTAGCTACGTTTTGAGAAATAAATTCTTGAACCTACTCTTTATTTGACTTTTCAACTGGAAATTGTTAAGGTTTGCAAAAACGATCAGAACATTACACTTTTTTGATGAAAATGTCATAGATTGCAGATTTAGGATCGCCCTTTAAAATCATCTTTACCAAATTGATCCAGCTTAGCTACATTTTGAGAAATAAATTCTTAAAGTTGCACTTTATTTGATACTTCAACTGGGAATTATTAAGGTTTGCAGAAACAATTAGAACATAAGAAATAATTAGAATTTCTTGATGAATAGGTTATAGATTGGAGATAAAAGATCGCTCTTTAAAAAGTAGTTCACCAAATTGGTCTGTCTTAACACTGCTTCAAGAAAAAGAATTCTAAACATACTTTTCTTTTGAATATTTAAATAAAATTTTGAATGTGAGAGAAATTTAAAATCATTGGATGATCAATAAGAAAGTTTAGATTTAAAGAACTATAAAATTGAGAAGGAATTTAGTTTGAAACTAAAGAGAAATTCAGTAATTAATTCAGTATGTTTGTTTCCACAAAAATCTTTAATTTTTAAAATAATAGTTTTTAACTCTCAAAATTGATACAACATCTAATAAAAAAATTGAAAAATATTTTCTAAATGACACCAATTTGTTGTATCATTTTCATCGCAGCGTGAATTTCATAAAAGTAAAAAAAAATGTAAAATAATTGAAGCATTTCCACAAATACTCTACAAAAAACAGGATGAAACCTAAACATATTCTACACTTTCTAAGTTTCTATACAATATATAACACCACAACTATAAATTGTTATGTAATCATAAAAAAGTATAATTTAGTAATTGCTTAAACCAAAAAAAGGTCATAAATCACAAAAGTTGAATATTTACTTTAAATATAACAACATTTATATGTATTTGTTTTGTTCATTAAAATTTATTTTATTTAAAAGAAATAGTTAATGACATAATAGTAAAAATAACTTATATAATCAATATTTTTTGGGGGCAAAGGTTGTCCCCTTTTATTGTTAGTAACTCTCCTAAAAAGACAAGAGCACTTTCCCTCAATGTCGTATGCTCAAAGTCGTGTTTTTACGTAATATTTTGAACAGATGACGAAAATGCCATCGAAAGATTGGGCAACGTGAAATATGTGTATACGCATCCTACTATAATTTCAATGCTACTTAATAATTAAAAATAATTTAAAAAATCCTGGTTTGAAAATATAAACAGGATAAAAACAATTTATTTTTCAACTTATTATATTATTACTAAGGAAGTAGTAATAATATAATTACTATAAATAATTTTTGGATTAGAAGATTAATTTTGACAAAAAAGTTAAAAAATATAGACATAATAATCAAATGACCTTTTTCGAGTTATTTTTATTAGAGATAATTTCAAATCCGTTAAAAAATTTTTTCAGCAAAAATTATTACGAAATTGAGATAAATAAGTAAGTAAATAAATAAATATAAAGGCTACTTACGCGTTGTAATATTTTTGGTAGTTTCATCTTGTCCAAAAACGAATTTTGCTATCGTTAATAACAAAAGTAATTTAGGTTGTACAAGATGCATTTTAAATTTTTTCTTCGTTCTTCTTGTGTTGAATTGAAACTTTTATTTTTGGGTTAGTGATCACCTGGGACTGATTATGTGTTATTTTGAAAAGTGGATATGGAACCGCCAGTCGACGAAGTCGGAGAAAGTCCTCCTCTTCGATTTTATAACAGGGTGAGCACAGGTGGGAATTGTGGTAGGGGATTTCCAGCACTACCATAATTTTTTTTATACAGCAACAGTTTTATAAACCTACCTTGAATTATTTACAAATACTTCACAAAGCTGTTTATTAAAGACTTAAACATAAACTAACAAAAAAATTAAACAATAACGATTTCAACATGTTTTTTAATTTTGATTTTTTGATTTAAAACTAATTAAAATAATTAATTTAAATTTTTTTTCTTAATCCAAATTAAATCTGAATTGTTAAACCTAATTTAATTAATAAAAAAATTTAGAGGTCATAAAACGAATTAAATCGTTAATAATAAACAAACAATAAGATCGTCGAAATAATTACGTAATCATATCGTTTAAATCGCTTCCTTTCGTAGATTTTTTTATTACTTCGTTTCCTTCTCTGTTATTATTATTGCGAATGAGCGTTTTCGCTTAATGCAGTGACCTCTTAACGTGCGCTTAATCTGTTTCAAGCTCTACAAATTAGGATGATTGATTCAGTGCCATACAAATTATTAACCGTCATGTTTTACAAAACCATTTCTAGGTAATAATGTAAATAATGCACACAAGTTAATTGGGTCTCTTTATGTTTAGAAACTTTTCCTTTCATACATGAACATTTATTAAAAGTAAAAGCTTCGATATTTGTAAAGTTAAAGAACATTTTTGTTGGGGTATTATGTATTGAGTTCTTAGGTAATCTACAATTTTTACAATTTCCTTTCTTTGCATTACCTGTTAAGAGTTAGTAATTAAAAAGTTAATAAAAAGAATTTTACATGTATAAAGTGAGTGTAATAATTTACAATTTTAATTTACATTAATTCATATTTTTTTAGTGATTTCTTTAAATTTAATTTGCTACGTTAATCTTTGTGGTTACAAATATGCAACCAACATTGATTGGACGCTTGGTTTCTTACTTTTAATTTAAGATTTAGTTTTTCAAAAACAAAATTATTAAAGTTTAAAACCAGAATTGGTCCTTAGGGTATAATACCTTTGGTTCTACCAAGTCTATAGCAAAAGATTTAACTGGATCCTCATAATATCTTAGAATTGAAGATAATTAAATTTCAAAAATAAACATAACGCCTATTTCACGTATTCACTCTTAGGTTATAGCATTTTTGGTTGAGGAGAACTTCGCATTTGCTAATAACAAACGCACCTAAAAATGCGTATTTTCTTTTCTTTGTTGCTACAAACTCTTTCCGTCATTTCTGTGTCTGGGTATATATTAGCAGCTGCTTCTCTAAAGAAGTCTCAAGCTTGGATCATCACTACCACAGTATTATAAGAAATAATTTCAGAGTCTATATTTGATTCCTCTTCATCCGTACTTAATTCATCAAAAGTTGCATTCAACTCTTCTGTGCGAAGTTCATCTTCGGATTTTAATAACTCATTTATATCATCAAGTTCTACACTTAATCCAAGAGACGCACCTAACATCACAACTTCCTTTTCAATTTCTTAAGCTTCATTTACTGCTGCATTATTTTCATAGAGAATTTCATGACATTTGTAGATAAAACTAATCTATATAACCACGGGCGTTATCCCGTACCAAAGAAGAGCTTTTATATGACCAAAGCTTTATAATTAAATTACCAGTAAACTCCCAAGCTCTCTTTATTGACATTTTCTGTTTTAAATAGCGTTGACAGAGTGATGAACAAACATAGGTTTTAATTTCATACATTCTAAGGAATTTACACTAAAAAGAAGTGTTACAATATTTTCCATAGGTTTGTGACTTGGAAGGCGACGTTTCTTTTGTGACACATCTGATCTATATCTTTTTTGTGATTACCAAGTAAGGGATTAGTTTAAAGTGGTTTTTAAGTTAAACTTTATTTCTATAATATGATGATGTATCTAAATTGTTGAATTTCTTATTTATTTTATTAGCTTTAATAAATAAATAAGTAGATATGCAACTAACATTACATTAACATTCTTTGCTTTGAAATATATATCTGAGAGCAAAAGTGTAAAAGAGCAAAATTGTCAACAATAAAATTTGCTACAACTTTTATACTAAAACTTTTTTTCTAAAGTGTTCTCAATCCAGTGCTATACCAACAATAAAATGTAAAAACACGATTTTTTTTATCACCATTTCGTATTTTTCTCGATATCCATGCAACTAAGAGCAAAAGTGTAAAAGAGCAATATTGTTAACAATAAAATTTGCTAAAAGAAATTTAAATATATTATTATACAAATTAATCTAAAATCAGTATTTACCTTTTCAAATGTTTAAATCACAATTAACTATCTAAGCATTAACTAAAAATTTATTTTTTATATAAAATAATACAATACATTTTCAATTTTTTTTAATTATTACTAACAATTTATATATTATTACCTTAAAAATTACATAACAAACTATAATAAGTATTTAAACTATTTTTTGGGGTTTTATATGAATACTTCAGATTTTGACCTATTTTTTATCTAAAAAAAAAATAAAGCAATTATTTAAGTCTTTTAAATTTTAAGCAATAATTTCGTCTTCTTTTAAATCTTCTTGCAAATCTCCACCTTTCGGTAGCCAAAATTCCGTTGGCATTTTTGTAAAAAGATTATTTGTGATATCAATAAATATTTGAGAAAGTGCATCTCCTATGCTTTCTTCTAAATCCTTAACGATTTCAGTTCCACGTTCGTTTAAGAAATTATTAACTGTTAAACCTGAAATTAAAACAAATAATATGATTAATCATGTAATAAATTTATATATTTCGAATCAAAACCTAAAATTTTATTCCCATTAAACAGATTATCCAAATTAATTTTGATTCCACTCAAGGAAAATTTAACTTTCATCGCATCCAATTTTATCACTTCTTTACCATCGTTTTCAATAAAATTAAAATCAGTGGTAATTTTTGTGTTAATTCCAGTTAAGGACATTATAGCATCTCCATGTCCAACTAAAGGGAGTATTAAAATTTTTCCTCTTAAATCATACATTCCCCTTATATCTAATTTAGGAAAATATAGACCAAATTCCATTTGTTTTTCATCTAAATTAATCCTAAACATCAATTAGATTAATTTTAATTTTTTTAATGTTTAAACTTTCTTTTACCGAGAATAAGTTGGTGTTGAATTCGATGCACCAACAACAGTAATATTAAAAAAGCTTCCTGTTAATGTAACAGCCCCGTTTCCTTTTGTAATACTCAATCGATCCAACAATAAAGGTTCAAAACCCTCAACATTTATTTCTGGGAGTCCCATCGCTAATTCTGGAAACATTTTCTCAAAAAGACGTTGAAGGCATTGATTTAAATTTGGATCGTTTCTTCGACATGTCACCATCCAATCAGCTAATCACAAATAAATTAGTACAACAAAATAATTAACCTTGATATTCCTATTTAATCAAAACAAAGAGATCATTAATAAGATTTTCCAATTCAATTCCATATCAAATAAATTTGTTTGTGAATCATTTTCTTTGTAACCTTGTATTTATTTGCAATGATTGAGCAAAAGTACACGAGGAGAATTAAAATGTATAGATTTATTTCCATAACAATTTTTTTTGTGGTTATCACAATTTTTACATATTTATAAATACAAGTTTTTTTGCGAATCATAAAATAAAATTGTTTTTTTTAAATCAATTACATTAAATAAAATCAATCAAAGATAATTAACTTACGTTTTTCTTTTAAAATTGGCCCATCAGAAACTTGATAACACCGAGAAAAATTAAAAATAATAAGTCCCAAAAATATTTTGATGACAATTTTGTTCAACATCTTCGTAGTTCGAACGTTGAAACGATTTAAATTGAATAAAGATAATTCTTATTCTCTTTTAGGTTTCCATCACTCCACGATAAATTTATTTCGGGTGGTGGTTCAGATCAACCAATTGCAATTTAAAGTGTGATGATATGAACGAATTCTCTTGGTATTGCTTTCATGGCGGTGAAAGTCCACTATGTACTTAAGAACATTTCTCTTGGAATTCGTTTTGCGCCTGTTACGTGTATATAAGAACTACCTGTTTACGTAATGTTACACAAATCTCTATAACAACTATAACGTTACAAGTTGTAGTAGTTGTAAATTGCGAAAACATATCAACAATTGGAGTCTTGATCGTTTGGTTCGATGCCCATATAAATGGTTTTTAATGTGCTTGGATGTAGGTTAATTCTATCTTTTTTATTATTGTTGAAACTAAGTGCAGCGTGAAATTTATTCTTTGGTTCCTGTTTTGAATTTATAATTGATTTATTGCAACTAAAATAATAAATAAATTACAAAAACTGTTATATTTCTGTAGGTAAAGAGAATTAAAAAAAAAAATAAGAAAATGTACACAATCCACTATTGTTATTAGAAAGTTTTTTATTGAGCAATGTTTATTAAAGGTTTTGTTTGCGCATAAATCAATATTTATATTTTTCAACTTAATGACAAGAAAATTGTAGGAGATTATAGTTAGTGAGAGATGTAGGAAAAATGAGTAAAAAAAGTTGTAAATCGTAAAAAACCAAACTTGATTTTTTTAATTATACCGTGAAAACTACCTTTATGTCTAATTTATTTCTAATCATTATTAAGTGTGTAATTGTTGTGGCAAAACCTTTACCAAGTATCACCTGATTGAATAACTTATACTATAATGTCTTCTGCATCTATGAAATGTTGAAGGATTAGATTACAATCTTTTGGCCCATAATAATAAATTTTCGTAGCCATAGTTTACAAAATGTTTATTGCTTTTAATGGGCTTAGGCGATAGAAGCTGATAAATTTTCATATTCCACTCAACTTCGAACGATAGCTGATGTTGATTGAAGACTTCTCCATACTTCCATAAAGATAATACAAAGTCTGTCTCGCAAACTATCTCCTAAGTCTATTTCCAAATAATTTATGTCTTCTATCTGGACTGCTTTGCATAAAATTGCATCTATCTCCAATATGTCTGATATATTTAAGCAGATACACTTAGGGTTTCTAAAGTATGAAGAAACGATCCCATCATCATTACTGTTTTGATAATGATTCGAAAACAATAGCGAAACACCTCAGGCTATGAGAAGCAATTTCAATCTAAGCTATTCAAACAATTTACAAGCTAGAAACTAAAAATTTCCCGGCAATGCCTTGCCATCTAACGTCATATTGAGAGATTTCAAAATCAATTAGAAGACACCATTAGATGTCACATCACAAAATGTCAAAATAAGGTGACAATGTACCCATTTCTTTTGGATTAATAGTATAATATCACGATGATCTGTCGACAATAACAACCGAGCTGTGTAGGCTATTTCCATTACACTTACAATTAGTAACCTATTAACATTTTTGTCCAAAAGTTCATTGTCTATTGTAACACACATCTGGAACAATAAATCAAATAGATAGGTTTATCCAGCCATTGTAGCGCATATTTGGAACAATAAATCAAATAGGTTCGAGAGAAATAAATTCTAAGATATTCGTCCAAAAAAATTTTTCGGAAATATCGCCATCAAAAACTCTTATAATACATGAAAGACGTTCCGTCACAGAATAGAAGGGTTCGTTCATGTCTTTGTGCGCCATCAATAGAAGAAGATTTCTCCGGCAACATATTCGAGAAGTTTGCAACACTGCACAGTTCTCGACGTAACTTTCGAAAAATGCAGCAAAAGTTTTATTATCATTTCATTCTCACTAGTCACCATGTTGCGGGGAGTTATATAGCAAAAACGTGTTTATTATTTTTGGAGAGTGACTGTTTTATTAATTTTTACAATGAAGAAAGTGCGCTAAATTAAAACATTTATTGAAAATAAATCCAAACCAGAACATAAAATATCATAACAAAATTATTATAAAATAAGTTTTAAATTATTTCGGTAATAGTTCATCAACAGGAAAACTATTAAAGACATTTGAAACAACGGTTAAAATAACACTTCTAAAACTGCTAGAAATCATCGGTTGAAATTCTGTTAAAATGGCCTGCGGATTTTCGTTTAAAACTCCGTTAGTTTGATCAGTAAGTTGTTTATTTCCAGCGAAAAGATTTTCAAAATTCACATCAGCATCACTTATTTGTATATCAACGTCGCATTTATTAAAATCTAAATATTCTTTTCCTGCTTTTTGAGTTCTCTTCCCGTAAAGTTTCGTTTTAAGAACAACATCCTCTAAAAAAATGATCCCACTTCAAATCTAATCATTATACTATATATAAAAAAGACTTACTTAGATTTATAACACAATGTCCAGATCCGTTTAAATCAAGCAACAACAAATGTCCTTTCAGTTTATATTTTCCTTTGACTTCAACTAGAGGGAATTTCATATTAAGTTCGACACCGACTGTTCCAACAGCTATATTGAAATGTTCGATTTCGAAAGACATCAGATTTCCCAATTCGACATCGGTTAATTCTAATTCCAAATTATTACCAGATTTTAAACTGAGTTTCTCCATTTTAAACGGTGACAAAGGTACTAATCTTATTTCAGGAATTCCTTTCGCTAAATTCGGTTTTAATTCGGTAACGGTGTTCAAAATGCATTTATTCATCTCTGGGTCGCTTTGTTTACATAAATGTATAAAAGAAGCTTAAGAAAAGATTTTTGATTAATAAAATCGTGTGAAAATTACAGAAAAAGACTTACGAATTGTTGCTTTGCCGTTTGAATAGACGGTACAAGAACAACAAATTAAAAAAAATAAAGTGATTTTTAAATCCATTGCTGACTCTTTTTGTGTTGATGGATGTTTGATTGAGAATGACTTCTGTACATGATCCAGGGTATTTAAACCAAGGAATATTATAAAAAAAAACATGTTTTTGTAGTAATTATTATACAATTTTTTTAGTGTTTTTATTTTTTTAAATTACTCAACACTTCAATTTTCATTTGGTTATTATGTTGAAAATTAGAAATATTGATTTATTGTACATTTGCAAATTGATCAATTTGAGGATAAAACCAAAGATAATTGTTCGAAAAGATACTAAGTATATTTTATTTATTTTAAAGTTTTGATCATCAAAACGATAAAATAAAAAATAAATTTTGACAATCATTATTGTAATTTCCATAACTAAAACTACACAGTGATTTTAGAATTTTTCTAAATTTTACTCAAGGTCTAATAAAATTGTAAGTATAGATAGTTAAATTTTAAACATGATTTTTATTTATCATAATTTTTAATCCGGTAATAAAACATTTAATGGGTATTTATGAAAAATTTTGTTCGCAAACTTCTTAAACATATTAGCTATGGTGTCTTCTAGGACGGGTTTAATTTCATCAGCAACATTTTTCCAATTATCATTCAAAAATAAATTCATCGCTTTACCAAGTTCTTTATCACCGCCAAATAAGTCATTTAATTGGAGTTTTGCGTGTCCAATAGTGAAATCGACGAAGAAATCTTTTACGCTAAAAAATGTGCGATCTCCCTTTTTTATTTTTCCCCCTTGAAGAAGAACTGTGGCATCTATATCACCTAAAAAAATTAAACTATTAATTAATTATTTAATTAAATAATAATAATTTACTATAATTTCCTGCACAAGTTCCCGACCCAGAAATCGGCATCATTAAAATTTTTCCATTCATAGAATAATCGCTGGTTAATTCTAAACGTGGCAACTTCACTTTAAGCTTAACTCGATCTTTATCTAAATCAACCCGAACACTTTTTAATTCAAATTCAGATGGACCATAAACTTTTATGTTTGTATAATCAGATTTTATCGATAACGGACCATTTCCTTGATCGATCACGACTTCCGGGACATATAAAGGTTCACAACTTGGAATATCAAATTCTGGAATTCCTTCAGATAATTTCGGGCGAAGTTGTTCAACAGATTTTTTTATACAATCTTCTAAATTTGGGTCGTGTCTGTGACAAATTTTTAAAAAGGAAGCTAAAAATAAATCTTTTTTAGTTAAATAATCTAATAAATTTACAAATAATTACGGATTTGTGAAAATGTTAAATTAATGAAGGAAAAAAATATAAAATAACAAAAAATATTTTTCATTATTAATTTTTTTGTACGATTTCACGTGAATTACTAAATAACACTAAAGAATATATTGCTTAAATGCATAAAACATTTTTTGCTTGGAAGGTAAAATAAAACGGCAATTCAACAAAAAAAATGTTGTTTTTAATTTTATCACAAACTCCATTTCTAATAAAAAGTCTAATATTAAAACATATAAAATACACTTCAAATTTGTTTACTCAGGAAGTAAATCTTTAGCTGGGATATTTATCAATCCTTTATTAAATTCATTTCTAAAGAAATCAGCTGTGTATTGTACGTAAATTGGGTTGATTGCGTCCATAACCAAACGCGGATTTTCATTGTAGAAGTTTGCAATTAAATCAGCTAAAAGAAATTTTAATTAAAACTAATCAATTGTAATTAAGCTTGTATAATTTTACCGGCAAATTGTAAATCTGGATTTTTAGATGTTAATTTTATGATTCCATCGCTTACTTTACTCTTAAGAAGGAGCTTTTCAATTTGAAGGTAATCTTCGCCATCTTTTTGGATTCGTTTTAATGACATTTTCATATTAAATGTTGTGTCAGCTATAAAATAAATTCATAGTAAATTAGCTAATATTAAAATTTTAACATCATTTTCTTATTATTCAGGTTGAGACAAAATGGAAAAAAGAATCTTTCACTAATTCTAAGTAAAATAAATCATCAAAGATTACTTTCAAGATTAACATCTTCAAATTTGCTTGACATGATAAAAATAGCAGTAGCCATGAGTAACTATGGTAACCAATTATTTTAAACAATTTTCTAAGTGTTAAAAACTGATTTAGTAAAGCTTGTTGAAGTGTGGTGGCGCATCATTTTGTTGCAATAACTACCATTAGAATTCAGGTGGGACAACATTATAATATCGGTTTGAAAAAATCTAAACATCTCCCTCCAGTTAAGGTTTCGATGTTGGGTGTGCAACTTTTTTGCCCAATGTGGTTTTGACAAAGTCTTCGTACTTGATGTAAGAGATGACACAGAATAACTAGCATCTGAACAAAGCTTTTCGTTATCATTTTTTATTGTTGTATTATATTTCTTTAGTGGTCTTCCCCTCTTTGTATCCGAACAAATATTGTAAACAAATACTAAATATTGCTATAAGATCATCTACGGTATTTACTCTACAATCTTTTCAGCTGCAAGATTACCTTGGAAGCGTTACGATAGGTTGTAAGCTAATGACCAATTCGTCAAACCACTTTTTTAAAAACGTTGGAGAAATCTATAAATAGGTACATTAGAGATTACCAAATATGAAGCTCTGCGACTTAGCCTTGTACCAGTTAAAACTATAAAGGATAATGTAAAAAAATTGAAAGAATCACACTTTCAAAATTAAAACAAAGAGAAGAACTAACTTTATTTTGAAAGCCAAGGAGTCCATGAAGTAATCATATGGAGATGATTATCGGGTTCATCTTAATCTGCAAGATGGCTAATAAGTGGACAAGACATAATGGAATAAGAGAGAAAACAAAGTAAATAGCTCTTTTCTAAAACTTTAGGAGAGATTTTCTGCTCAAGACTGCCTTAGGCAACATTTGAGTTAATATCTAACAGTTATACAACTCCCTAACCCATCTACCAACAGATTTCAAAAAACGAAACAAAAAATAGTAAAAATTAACGATAAGAAACAAAACTAAACAGAAAACTATAAACTTCTTAATCTTCTACGGCTTTTAAATTATTCACACTGCTCAACCATTTTGTCACACCCAATCTATAATTAACATTTAAGCAGTAATTTTATATTAAAATTGTCAATAAACATTGAATGAAAAAATTAAATCAAAATAAAACATACTGAAATTTCCTTGGAAAAATCCTTTACTTCTTAAAGGAACAATTAAAAGTTGCCCCTTAACATCATATTCCATTGAAAGTCGTGTAAATGGAACGGTTAAAGAAATTTCACCAATAAGATTTTTTGGATTAAACCTAAAAAATAGAAAAAAAAAATTATCCAAGAATTTTCTAATTACATAATCGTGTGCAGTTTAGATGTCGTTAAACTTTGCCATTCACGCAACAACAAAATTGTGGAAACTTTCTCCTTTTCACTTTCGTTCGTATAAAGCTTATTAGATTTTTAGAAAAAAATTTAGCATCAATTCAACAACAAATACAAACCTAATACTTTCGATGACTGTACTTGCGAATCCGGTGATTTTTGCGTTTTTACATACAGCATAAATATTAACCAGGTTATCAACAGTTCTGTTAACGAGAGCGTATTCAACAACCAATGGATCTAAAGGTGGAAGTTTTAATTCTGGGACACCTTTTATTAAATAAGGTTTTGCTTTCTCCACAGCTTCCAAAAGACACCTGTTATATTTTGGATCGGATATTTTACATCTTTCTGGTAAATAATCAGCTAAAAATTAAAATATAAATTAAAATTAAATTAAAAAAATGTTTATTTAATTTTGTGCGAAGAATTTTGAAATATTCTAAAGGTCCTTGATATTTACTGAAAATTTATTTGTTTGACTGTATTTAATGTAAATAAAAGAATTAATTTAAATGTTTTATGTAAAACTAATTCTAAATTTGTTTACTTACGAATAGTAAGTGAATTGGTAATAAAAACTTGAAGAAATATGCTGAGTACTAAAACGTAACTTTTCATTTTGACCCACTGTTGATGTGAAATGTCACTGGTCGAACTTGATATCTTGCAGGAGACCTCTTTTATACCCCCAGCAAAAGGGAAATTTTATCGATGGTGGGGAGTTTGAAATGAAGATTTACTCGGAAGAAATATAGTAAAAGTTTTTTCATACACGCCATTTTCTCAATTAAAACGTATAATTGTATTGCAATTAACTACATGTTAAACTTCAACATGTTATTTTTAAATTCTATAATTACCAATAAAAAGAGACGAGAAAATAGCATGAAATCTAATAATAAATCGTAAAATTGATGTCTATTTAACCATTGTTATCATTATCCTTTCGTCACATCCTTCCTCTTTGCAATCTAAAGTAAGTACAATGGAAGGAAAGTACTGGTTGTAATAGGTAATAAGATGGTAAATTTCGCTTTCACTATACCAAGAAGTTAGAAATTTAATATCGATTTGAAATTAAATTATTTATTTGTACACACGTTTAATATTTTAACTATATTATATCCAATTATGTGGTAAATAGAACATTTAAAACATTTTCTAATTCATTAAATTCTAAAAGGAGGATGATTCAGCACAAGGCAAACCACAAGTTTTCAAACAAACACTTCAATTAAACAGTTTATTTTTATACAAATCTCTCTTCAGTAGTTTTTCTCTACTGTGCTCGTAACTATATTAAGAATTAAATTTATAAACAATATTAAGGAAACAATTCTTGGTAAGTAAATCTTAAAGTAATTTTGTTAGCAATTTCAGTAAATTTTTGAGCTAAAGAACCCTCCAAATTTGGTCTAATTTCATTCAAAAATAAATCAGCGTTTTCAGTAACAATATCATTCGATATCTTTCCAAGCAAATGATCATGACTGAAAAGATTCTCCAAACTCAATTTCGTTTCTCCCATTTTAATCTTAATCTTCATCTTGTCAAAATGTTCATACTCCTTCCCTTCCTTTTCAATTCGATCACCTTTCATAACAGCTTCGAATTCGTAATTACTTAAATTGCCTTTAATAGGTCCATTTCCGGTCAATTTTATCAGAAGGATTTGCATGTCCAAATCGTAATTTCCTCGAAAATATAAATATGGTAAATTTACTTTAAAATAGAAGATATTTTTTATTAAGTCGGCTCTAAAAAATGTTTAATTAATAATTTTGGATTTAAAATTTAAAAAAAAAGTACTTTAAATCTAAAATTTCAAAATCAGATGCTCCTAAAACTGTTATATCTGTTATATTTGCAGAAACCCTCGTAGTTGTTGGTCCTCGCCTTAATTTTATTTCATCCAATTTTAATGGCTCAAGTGGAGGTACATCAAGTTCAGGAATTCCTTGTTTTAATTGTGGTTTTAATAAATTCACAGAGTTTAAAATGCATTTTGAAACTTCTGGATCGGATGCTTTACATACATGAATGTAACTCGCTAAATTAAGAAAATTATAAATTCTTAAATATTCTAAACTCATAAATAAATGATTTTCAATTTACTCGACAAAGGTCAAATAAGAGTCGAATATTGTAAACAACGTAGTAATTAACAATAAAATTTATAATTCCTATCAAATTTTAAAGCTAAGTGTGAATTATTTATGTTTATTTATGTAATAAATTATTTGAATTCATTTAATATAAAAATTATATTTAAAAAAAAATTAAAATAAAAACTTACGTATTTCTGATTTTGTTTGATTCACAATAAATCCAAAAATGAGAACTAAAACAACGAAACAAAACATTTTTATTTAAAAAAAAATCTTTGTTCGTGTTTGCATCAAATTGAACAAACGAACGGATTAAAAATGTGCATGAGGTACTCGAATCTTTAAGCTATGTATGTACCAAGTATAGAAACCTTGGAATTAAATCGATATGGATACCCACTGGTTAAGGAATGATTGTGAAAAATAAAATAGTGATGAAATTTGATGCTTTTTGCATGTTAATGTGGATTTAGTTAAAATTAATGGAAATTTTTGGTAAAAAATTATTAAAACATATTCTTTAGGTGATCTTAAATGAAAACTTATACGTTTTAATTTTCTGGATTAAAAAATATAGTAAAAAAGTAAAAGTTTAAATTAGCCAAAGAAGTAATTTTAGGTTAATGAATATCTGTTATGCAATGAAGCTGCAATTATGTGTGTAAATGTCGCTATTACTGGAGTAAGTTGAAAATGTTTGGAAAAAAATAGAGTTGAGAAAAGTGATGTAATAGATTTAATTGGTGTGAGAAATTAAGAATGAATAAAAAAGGAACTAGATGAAAGTGTTTATTAAAGTCTTATTAATTAATATGTTCCGTAATTTTCTACGTTGTAAGGGTTATATCATTAGAAATAATTAATGTAAATGTTTTCAACATGTTATTAATAATTTTCCAAATATAGCTAGTTTTCTATAATTATTTAATGAAATTGTGACAATGAAAATGATCACATCAAGATATGGTGATAGAAAAAAAACTAACAAACTTTGGACTATCTAAATTCGGGTTGTGTTTGATTAATACATATCGGCAAAAAACACTACAAAAACCGCCAAATGAAAATTATAATAAGCCAGAAAATTAGCAATGTCTGTATAACATAAGTATGATATGGCGTAGCAAACATTTTTTTAATTCTAGTATGTCGAGATTTCCTGCTAACTTCTGGTTCACGTCCATTTGGGATTCAAAATGATCTAACCTAAACTATCGTCAAGTTAACCGGAATATTGTTCGATTTTTGGACAAAGCAGAAGTGGTAGTTTTTTTGTTACTCACTTTTGCCATGCTTTTTCAGGTTGTGATAGCTGGCATATGGTAAAAACATCATGTTATCGAGGAGTGAAGCACGTTCCTGTTCAATAAATTATGGGTGAACTGATTCCCAAGGATGATAAATAAATGGCTGGTAGACTGACGTTTTTATAAACACAAAATTGTGAGGTGTTCGAAAGTAATATTTTTGTTCTACCGGAAATAAAATTAAAAATTTTTGATCGGTAATAGTCGCCAGATTACTTAAAGGTGATAGAACGTGATTTCAGGAACGCCCAATAATTTTGGACATCAAGTTTTTGGATGACTTGCAGAATCTGCTATCAGACAGTAGATTTCTGGATAGCGGCATGTTGCGAAATTCTGAACAAAGTTTTCCTGGAAAAAAACGATGAAAGATATACAATAAATATACAAACATTTTCCGACGTATAAGATGCTCTTGAACTGTATGATTCAAAGATAAGTTATAAATGATGTAAGTAAGGGCAAAATAAGGCAGAAAAAAGTTACAAGCGTGCAAATTGACACCGAATTACCTACACTTTCTATGGATCTAAGAAAGAATTCAAGAAACAAGAATAAAAAGTTTAACTTTTAATATAGATGGAAAAAATATTCAATAACATCATGTGTCAAAAAAAATAGTACTTATTCCTTATAGTTATAAGTATTGATAAAGACAATACCACTATCCTAAAATTACCATCTATCTGCAACATCAATATGTCTAACTCGATAAATAGGATTTAGATGGCACTAGTAAGGTCAAATTTTCTGTTTTACTGTAGCTCAACTCAAAGAGAACACAAATAGTATAACGCAGAAAGAGTTTTTTATAACTACTTTTAATGATGAAAAAATATTGTTTTGAGAAAATTAATATTAAGCAGACTATGAATCATATTATAACAAGCGAAACAATTTGCATTTTTTATATTTTTAGTACAGGAAGGTTCTCACATTAGACCACTTAAACTGTAAGTGTAGGTGGCTCTTTTCTAATAAAGGTTAATTAGTTAAACGTATGTAGATTATTGGCTCTGCGTCAGTAATGTTTGGAACAAAGAAAATAATGAATTTATTCAAACCCACGTAAATAAAATATTTGATGTAAATAAATATTTATTCTAACAAAATTATTAACAAATCCAATTTGAAACTACATTTATAACATAATGACATATTTAAAACATCGATAATAAACCACAAGAAATTAACATCAAAACTAAGTTTATTGTAAACATGTTAGCTGCGGCTACGGGACAAACATTTCTTACAGAAACTATATCCAACCCTCTCACCGTTAACATGTTGTGAATCGACAAAATATCCCTCCGTTTTAATTCTGGCAATCTTGATAAAATAACGGTGTACAATTTTTGATCTGGCCTAATTTGGCAAAAAGTTAAAACCATGTGATCACCAACTGCTTTTAATACTTGGATTGTTCCAGCAAAATCATCAAATGTTTGAATTAATTGTGACCCTAAATTAAAAAAATAAATATTGTACGATTTAAATTAATCATTTTTTACCATTGTGGGGTCCACTTATATGCCAAATACCTGGTGCAGACATATAAGAAGTTTTATAAGTAACAACAATTCCATCTGATCCTATCCATAAAACTTTTAATTTTCTTTGCTCAAGGTCATTTGAAGGGTAAACTCCATTTCTATTGTATTGATGTTGATTTATTAACCGCCTATTTTGATTTATTGAATCTAAAGGATATTGCGTACCTAAAAATGATAATAATTTAATTAAAGTTTTATTTATTTTTTTAATATTACTTGTTATAGTATCATAACTATCATATTTATTTCTATTATCATATTTGTGTCTGTTATAATACGTTGATCTGTATTGATCTTCTCCTAATTGAGGTTCTTCGGAAATATTAATTTGTAAGCAAGTATCTGGATGTTGTGGTTCGTATGATGTTTCTATACGGTGAGAAATTAATTCTATTCCGTACCATAATCCCATTAACTAAGAAAATAAAAGAGAAATATTGATAATCCCTAGAGGATTGAGTCTGCACTAAAATAATTCAATTAATTCCGATCTAAACTCATTTTTTTTAGAAAAGTTTTTTTTATATTATTTAATATCTTATCGATGTGATTAAAAAAAATACCTGATCGATAGCCACATGTCGTTGCGTCCCAACTTCGGCACAATTATTATAAGCGTTATCACTGGAAACTTTTTTTAAAATGTAACTAATACAAATAAAAGTTATCAAGAAATAAAAACGCATTTTTTTAAATTAGTTTTTTTAAGCTAAGAAAATTTTCTTTACGAAATAGTCCGATGTGACTTTTCGAAAATAATTTAACAAAATAACAAGACATAGTAATGATAGGAAGTAATATACAAAGAGAATTGTTCTTTCTGGTGGGAGACATACAACGTAATTTTCATTGACTTCATTTGGTTCAATTAGACTTGTTTTCTTAGGTTACGAAGTATTTAAGATGCGGATGACGAATTTCATTCATGATGTTCGTCTAGGTTTTTTGGGAAAAGAAAACAGGTCGATCTTTATTTATAAGGTCAGTGTCGGATTATTCAACGTTTTAATTACCGTGAAATTATGTCAAAATTCGAAATAAAATTATATATTTTGTTTCTTATTGTTTTTGAAATAATTTGATTGAGCAAGCGAATCTAATAACATAATAAGATTTAAATTATATCCTGCTAATACTCTATTTAAGGTCATTTATCATTAATAATACACTTGTTTTAATGAGAGATAATTCTATGGTGTTTTGTGTCCATTTAATTCATGATGTTTATATTAAAATAAATAAATACAAAATCAAATCGAAAATATACAATTATTTAATCACATCAAAAAAGGCAGAATTGAAAACATAGCATCATCCAATCAAAAAATTTAATGAAACCTTGTAATTTTACGATTACAAAAGAAGAAAAAAACGTATAAATAATAGAAACGTTATTCTAATCCAGTCAAATGGAAACAATGGATCTGCATTTATCGTTTTTGTTGGTGTTTTTATTAACACAAAGTGCTTCTCCTGTGGAATTACGTACGTGCTTAAATAATTTCTTTGCAATATTAAAATTATCTTTTGTTAAAGCTCCATTTATCCATGTTTGTCACCAAAGCGATCCTGAATTAGAACAATGTATTATTAACGCTGTTGAAGAAGTTAAACCAATTTTAGTAACAGGTAAAAAGTGCTGTTTATGCCAAAATATTATTTAATTCATTTTATTTCTATTTAGGTGCTCCTGAATATAATATCCCGAGTGTTGAACCGATGATTATTGAAGATTTTATTGAAGAAGAATCATCTGGTTTAACAATTCAAGTTAAAGATGTTTCGACGTGTGGAGGAAGTCAATTTACAGTGGAAAAGATTAGGTAAAAAAATTAAAATTATGTATTTGTTAACTTTTTGTTATTAATTGTAGTTTACATCGTGATCCAATGTCCTTTACAGCACAGTTAATTTTTCCACAAATGAAAATAAATGCTACTTATAACATGCATGGAAAAATTTTAGTTTTGCCAATTAAAAGTAGTGGAGAGTTCCGCGCGAATTTAAGTAATTTTAATTAATTTCGTTTAATTAAAATTGTTTAATTACTTGATTTATTTCTAGCGAACATAAAATCGACAAATACAATGGTAGGTGAGCTTTATGAAAAAGATAGCACGAAATACGTTAAATTAATATCAAACGATATTAAATTAAGTGTTGAATCTGGTCATGTTCATTTGGAAAATGCTCATGCTGATACTATAATAAGTAATTTTTCTTAATTATTTCTATTTGTTTTTTATTAATTTTTTTTATTGTAGATGATATGATATCTGAGACTGTTAACAAAAATTTTCACGATTTCTTCCACGAATTAATGCCAGTTATTGAAAAAAATTTGGGGGAGCTTATGTTGAATATTTCAAATAAAATAGTTGAACCGTACCCTTACGATTTAATGTTTCCTGAATAAAAAAAGATAAACTTAAAAAACTTTATTTAGGAAATTGTTTTAGAAAATATTAGGTTAAAAACATTCTAATAAATACATTCATCCAGATCTTGTTTTTTAATTTTATTTACATCAATTACAACGATTTTACATATTTTATCAAATTCAACATTTCCGTTTATATATATTATTTATATATTTATAAAGTATATACATACATAGTATTACCGCATTAGAATATTGTATATAAATAAGAATTGATTTCGATACAAGACTGTACAAGTTACAACCACAAAAATAAATTCTGATTATAGGTCAATACAAGTACAGATAGTTGAGACCGGATCTGGTTTGTACGTTCTATCGCAAATAAAATATACTGTACACAATATTCGATGAAAGTGATGGATACCAAATCGAGAAAAACAGTGTAATTCTACAGAAACTATTGAGACAGATAAAAGAAAGCGGACGCGAAGAAAACGGCAATTGGTAAGAAATTAAGAAAGCAAGAAAAGTCCTACTTGCGCAAAAATGCTAGAAGAAAAAATGGGACACTATGTTTTTGCACAAAATAATATTACACAAAAAAATCATTAAAACTTGCTTAATACTGAAACAAAAATTTCAAATCTTACGGGCAACCCCATCCGATTGTGTACGTCACAAGTTCAGAAATGAAGAGGTAAAGATATTTTTAGAAAAAACTCTCCGGGTAAAATCAGTAGATGAATTAGACCGAACAGTATTTTTCAATAACAATGCGTTTGGCCATCAAATAATAATTAAACATGTTATTAGCACAATATTAATTTCGTTGCCATAAACATGGAAAACACTCTGCTTGGTAGATATGATACCTGTTCCATAATTTAGAAAATACTCATCACCTAAAATACAGATGATAAAACTTGTCCAAAAAAGAAGAAATGTTCAATTGATAGCTTTCTAGAGCAAGATACTTTGTCGAATGTGCTTTTGGTGTGATAACGACTGTTAAAAACGGAAATTATAATTCATGCTAATTAAATCAGACAACGATGTTTGAACAGAATGCTGCCTTCGAAATCCGAAATTTAAGAAAATAATATACAAATTTAAAATTAATTTTTCATAAATTGTCTTGTTTTAGCGTAATATAATTGGAGTACATTCCCTAAAATAATACAATTAAGGCCGTTTCACTTGACACACTTGGGCGGATTGCATTCAGTGGCAATTTCAATGTAACCGAAGACTTATTAATAAACTGGAATCCTTATAAAGCCAATCCGAAGATTAATTACCATAAATAATTGAGCTATAAATCAATAAATTTCACTGAAATTTGAATATTTTTTTACAACTTTGAGGGCAATATTATATTTCATCCTCAAATTACCTCCTATCAAATCCCATTATCACCCATGAAGATACTGCATCTCATGTCACTCCTCATTTCATGTACCATATATCACATAATTTCAGATTTAATTATTACAAATAAAGGTTGTGGTACTCGAAGGTTTAATGATACTCGTTAACCTTGAAATTTTGGTTTAAAAGGTTTCGCATTCGGATTTTATTCTTCATATTCATAATACTTTTCAGTAATGAAGAAGTTCTTGGTGTTCATTTTAATCGGAGCTGTTTCAGCTAGAATTAGCGACGAAAGTAAGTTTTATAATTTAATATTTTGCTTACTAAGCCATGAAATAAATTAATTTAAAATTAATTTTACTCACAATTTTATTTGATTAAACAGAATGTGAAGAATATAGTGAGCGGTATAAGCACATCAAAAATTGGGGGGAATTTTCTCACATTGGTGCGTTAGGTTCCTACGCCGGTGGTGACATTGATTATAATTGTCCGGTAGTTTTAATAAGTGAATCTTTCGCACTGGCTGGAGCTTTCTGTTTTAATAATCGAAGGTTAGTTTTTTTAGCGTAAAACGTATTCTATTTACCGCTTATATATATTTTTTAGACATGTTGAAAATATATTATTCGGAATATCAAGTACGTCTGAGTTAGGAGATGATAATAACACATGGGTACATATAGTCAAAACTTATACAGGTCCCTTATACCAAAAATCACGTCCTTCTACACGATTTCCTCTAGTTCTTATCAAATTTTCACCAGAAATAACAGTACATGATAAATTAAGACCCGCTTGTATATATAGTAAAAAGCTTAACGTTGGACAACTTTTAATTGATACGGTTTGGACAAAGAATCAGGACAAAAAAGGCACTGCTTATACAAGAACTGTCAACCGTTACAAAAACGAACTCTTAAAAGTGAATTCTCAAGTTGTACCTACGGAAGCGTGCAAAAATAGGTTTACCTATCAATATGGTATAAGGATTGACGACTCTAATTTATGTATTAAACGGGACTATCGCGGCTCGTTTACATCCCACGTAAGAAAGAAATAATCAATAAAGTTCAGTGTTCCTTTTTTTTCCCTAATTATTGTTGTTTTAGCCTGATTTCGCTGGAGTCTCTCACCTTTATGAAAACAACAAGATTAAAGTAGTTGCTATTGATGATTTTGGACCGTTAGAAATAGGTAGTAAAATTCCTGATGTATCCTCAAGACTTTCTTATTATGTTGATTGGATTGAAGACACCGTTTGGGGCAACTGAAATGAGAAACAATTATTTTTATTACTATATATTTCAAATAAAATAGTTGAACCATAACCTTAGGATTTAATTCCTGAATAAAAAAATAAACTTAAAAAACTCTATTTAGGAAATTATTTTAGAAAATATTAGGTTAAAAATATTCTAATAAATACTTTGAATAAGATCTTGTTTGAATTCGATTTTAATTTTATTTACATCATTTACAACGATTTTACATATTTTATCAAATTCAACATTTCAGATATCATTAATATGATATCTGAGACTGTTAACAAAAATTTTCACGATTTCTTCCACGAATTAATGCCAGTTATCGAAAACAATTTGGGGGAGCTTAGAGATACTTTGTCGAATGTGCTTTTGGTATAACAACGACTGTTAAAAACGGAAATTATAATTCATCGTAATTAAATCGATTTAGCTCTGAAATGTAATTCATCAGACAACGAAATCATCCGGAAGTATTAGAGCTTGTCTGCTAAGTATAGTAGTATATTACAGTACAAGTGAGGAAACTAAGATTTTTCACTCACGCGTCTGTCGGATTTCCACACGAGCCGAAGGCGAGATCAATCAGAAGGCGAACATTCGAAAGTAACGGCATTGGAGGAACGAGAAGATTCTAAGAGCTTCAAAAATATTATTCTATGCCTCTGTGTAATAAAGACACAGATATATTACAACGGCGGAAAATTCATGCTTCTGAATTTTCTATTTTAAGTTTAATGGCACGAGATCTCTGAAGCATACCGGCTACTTCAGTCCCGGGGGAAAGATTATTCTCACGTGCTGCATTAACTATAAGAAAACATCGAAATCGCCTTAATAATAAATCTGCACGATGTTTGTTATGCCTAAACGATTGGGTGAAAAAGAAAATCATTTGCGACCGACAAGGCTGAGGGCTGTAATTCTCTCTTCCAACTCTTACATTATAGCAAGTATTTAAGTATTCCTTATTGCACTGAAACAATAAGATTATGCATGACGAGATTTCGTTACTTTTATGAGGCTCAAGAGTGGAGGTTGCGAGACGAGACTTAATACAAGACTTATTAGTTCATCGGCGAGACGAGACTTAATACAAGACTTATTAGTTCATCGGCGAAACGAGACAAGACTTTATGAAAATCTCGTCTAGTTGGTCTCGTGCGAACCACTACCCTAAAATAATACAATTAAGGCCGTTTTACTTGACACACTTGGGTGGATTGTATTCAGTGGCAATTTTAATGTAGCCGAAGATTTATTAATAAACTGGAATCCTTGTAAAGCCAACCCGAAGATTAATTACCATAAATAATTGCGCTATAAATCAATATATTTCACGGAAATTCGAATATTTTTTACAACTTTGAGGGCAATATTATTTTTCATCCCTAAATTACCTCCTATCAAATCCCCTTATCAGTCATGAAGATACTGTAGCATATATCACATAATTTCAGATTTAGTTATTACAAATAAAGGTTGTGGTACTCAAAGGTTTAGTGATACTCGTTAACCTTGAAATTTTGGTATAAAAAGTTTCGCATTCGGATTTTATTCTTCATATTCATAATAATTTTCAGTAATGAAGAAGTTCTTGGTGTTCTTTTTAATCGGAGCTGTTTCAGCTAGACTTATCGACGATAGTAAGTTTTATAATTCAATATTTTGCGTATATAATTTTCTAATTTACTCACAATTTTATTTGATTAAACAGAATGTGAAGAATATAGTGAGCGGTATAAACAGGTCAAGAATGGGGGACCATTCAGTGAATTTTCTCACATTGGTATATTAGGTTTCAACGTCGGTGGTAATTACATGGATTATAATTGTCCGGTAGTTTTAATAAGTGAATCTTACGCGCTGGCTGGAGCTTTCTGTTTTAATAATCGAAAGTTAGTTTTTTTTAGAGTAAAGCGTATTCTATTTACCGTTTATATACCTTTTTAGAGGCGGTGGACAGATATTATTCGGAACATCAAGTACGTCCGAGTTAGATGATGATAATAAATTGGTACATATAGTCAAAACTTATTATCATCCCTTATACGACGAATCAGATCTTTCTAAACGATATGCTCTAGTTCTTATCGAATTTTCACCAGCAATAGCAGTAGATGATAACGTAAAACCCGCTTGTATATATAGTAAAACGGCTAGAGATGAACAACCTTTAATTGATACGGTTTGGAGACCAACAAAGTATGAGCAAATAAAACACACTGCATGTACAAAAACTGTCAAACATTACTACAACGAACTCTTAAAATTGAATTCTGAAGTTGTACCTGTGAAAGTGTGCAAAAATAAGTTTAGCCCTAAACATATAAGGATTGACGACTCTAATTTGTGTATTAAACGGGATTATCAGGGCTTGTTTACATCCCACGTAAGAAAGAAATAATTAATAAGCTTCAGTGTTCTTTTCTTTCACCTAATTATTGTTGTTTTAGCCTGATTTCGCTGGAGTCTCTCAGCTTTATGAAAACAACAAGATTAAAGTCGTTGCTATTGACGATTTCGGGCCGTTAGAAATAGATGGTAGTGTTCCTGATGTATCCACAAGACTTTCTGATTATCTCGATTGGATTGAAAGTACCGTTTGGCCCAACTAAAATGAGGAACGATTCTTTTATTACTATCAAAATAAACATTTTAACATTATTTTTACATGCAACTTTATTTTTAGCCTTGAAAATCCTTTTTGTAACAGCTTAATTCTGCAGCTAAATCAAGTCATTATAAATTACAGAAATATTGAGTGGCAGATCACTCCATCACTATTTTTTCTGTAAAGAGTGCCTTATGTTCTAATAGTTCTAGATAAAACATAGTTTTATTAATCATTCATACCTCGTCGACTTGACGATTAGATAATAATCGGGATGACTATGAATATATAAATGCCGATGTTTTCGTAATTTTATTTATCAGTAACTGTTAAGAGTTAATTTTACCACAAATGAGAATAAATGCTACTTATAACATGCAAGAAAAAATTTTAGTTTTGCAATTAAAAGTAGTGGGGAGTTCCGAATTTAAATAATTTTAATTCATTTCGTTTAATTAAAATTGTTAAATTGATTTATTTCTAACGAACATAAAATCGACAAATACAATGGTCGGTGAGCTTTATGAAAAAGATGGCACGAAATACGTTAAATTGATATCAAATGATATTAAATTAAGTGTTGAATCTTTTGAATGTTGAATCTTGGAAATTCACGCTGATACTATAATAAGTAATTTTTCTTCATTATTTCTATTTGTTTTTTTTTAATCAAATTTAAAATTATTTTTTCATAAATTGTCTTGTTTTAGCGTAATATAATTGGAGTACATTCCCTAAAATAATACAATTAAGGCCGTTTCACTTGACACACTTGGGCGGATTGCATTCAGTGGCAATTTCAATGTAACCGAAGATTTATTAATAAATTGGAATCCTTGTAAAGCCAATCCGAAGATTAATTACCATAAATAATTGTGCTATAAATCAATAAATTTCGCTGAAATTCGAATATTTTTTTACAAATTTGAGGGCAATATTATATTTCATCCCCAAATTACCTCCTAGCAAATCTCCCTATCAGTCATGAAGATACTGCATCTTATATCACTCTTCATTTCGTGTACCATATATCAAAAAATTTTATATTTAATTATTACAAATAAAGGTTGTAGTACTCGAAGGTTTAGTGATACTCGTTAACCTTGAAATTTTGGTTTAAAAGGTTTCGCATTCAGATTTTATTCTTCATATTCATAATAATTTTCAGTAATGAAGAAGTTCTTGGTGTTCATTTTAATCGGAGCTGTTTCAGCTAGAATTAGCGACGAAAGTAAGTTTTATAATTTAATATTTTGCGTACTTGGCCACGAAATAAATTTGTTTAAAATTAATATAATTTTCTATTTTACTCACAATTTTATTTGATTAAACAGAATGTGAAGAATATAGTGAGCGGTATAAGCACGTCCAAAATTGGGCGGAATTTTCTCACATTGGTGCATTAGGTTCCCACGCCGGTGGTGGCATTGATTATAATTGTCCGGTAGTTTTAATAAGTGAATCTTACGCACTGGCTGGAGCTGCCTGTTTTAATAATCGAAAGTTAGTTTTTTTGCGTAAAACGTATTTTATTTACCGTTTATATATTTTTTTAGACACGTTGGACATATATTGTTCGGAACATCAAGTACGTCTGAGTTAGATCATGATAATAATACATGGGTACAAATAGTCCAAACTTATAATAAATATCCTCTAGTTCTTATCAAATTTTCACCAGCATTAACAGTAGATGATAAATTAAAACCCGCTTGTATATATACTAAAACGCTTAGATATGGACAAGATTTAATTGATACGATTTGGATAAAGAATGAGAAAAAAGACACTGGTTATACAAGAACTGTCAGACGTTACTACAACGAACTCTTAAAATTGAATTCTAAAGTTGTACCTGTAAAAGTGTGCAAAAATAAATTTAGCTTTAATTATAGAATAAGGATTGACGACTCTAGTTTGTGTATTAAACGGAACTATCAGGGCTTGTTTACATCCCACGTAAGAAAGAAATAATTAATAAGATTCAGTGTTCTTTCCTTTTACCTAATTATTGTTGTTTTAGCCTGATTTCGCTGGAGTCTCTCACCTTTATGAAAACAACAAGATTAAAGTCGTTGCTATTGACGATTTCGGACCGTTAGAAATAGATAGTAGTGTTCCTGATGTATCTACAAGACTTTCTGATTATATCGGTTGGATTGAATACACCGTTTGGGGTTGAACTTTATATTTAGCATTGAAAATTCTTTTTGTAACTGATTAATTCTGCAACTAAAACAAGTGACTATAAACTACAGAAATTTTGAGTGGCAGATCACTCCATCATTATTTTTTCTGTAAAGAGTACCTTATGTTCTAATTCTAGATAAAACATGGTTTTAATTTAATGGAGCAACAATATTTTTAGTGGAGTGATTCATACCTCATCGGGCTTCACGATTAGATAGTAATCGAGATGAAAATATATAAATGCCGATGTTTTCGTAATTTTATTTATCAGTACTTTATATGACAACAACTGTTTTTAGTTCTACTTGGAGTTTTATTGATATAACCAAAAGTTTAAACTAAACGATTTTTAGTTCATTTTAGGTAAGTTAAACTTCCTTACTCTTTTAGTTGCCTCACATATTAAAACGTAAATTTGTTTCAATTCTTCTATATTCCCTCTGTTAATTGAAACGTCCCATAAAACACAACGTTCTCAAGTTACTATCAATTGAATGACTGTTTTTCATGCTATTTATAAAATGATATGTAATCCATAGTTTTATGTAATAAAAATGTACCGTATTGCTTAACATTATTGTGAAACATAATTTTTTTTAATGGTGGAGAATTTTGATCAACTTTATACTTATTATCTCGGATTTTGTGTAATCTGTAAGAAGTAAGTAACTTATCAATAAAATTATTGCAAATTTCATAATTTCAAATCGATTTCTTACTTGAAAAACCGGTGAGATCATTGTCAAAAATCCACAAAAATATCTAATATTTCCTCTGCGTCGATTAATAAGCTTCTGTATGAAGCGTTTAAATGCAAAAGTAACGTTTGACACCTAAATACATGTATAATAATAATGATGTTGCTACTGGTTTAAAAAATATCGGATTTATTACTGATACGATATGTTCATCATAAAAAACGATATGGCTGATTTGTATCAGTACCCTTGAAAGAGCTACAATCAATACAGTTCTATTTCTATTTCTATCTCTATTTTAAAGTTCTGGGATTTCACCGTTTCCACCAAAATTCCTTCATATATCATACTCTTCTACTCAAGTAACTCCCACAATACCTTCCGTTAAGTTATCAGCTACAAGATTTACTACCATGTCATCACCACTATTTTTTAGCATTAAACATTCTATTCCACTTCTATGTTTGACAGTCGGTTTCATGTATCTAGGATCAAATTCTTCACTAGCATGACGATGAACATACGTTTTTTCATCGGATGTTATTTGAACAGTAGTACTTAGACTTAGGTTCAGTATTGATACTTGTTTGCCTAAGCTAACAGAGTCTTGGTTTGGAGCTTTTAAATTATGCCAATCAAAATACCGCATGTTTTGACCTTGCTCCCCACTTTTATCATCATTTTCTTCGTTGTCATCAATTCCTGGTTTTTTCACGAGATACCAATATTTAGAATCACCCAACCTAGTCTAAAACAAATGGACATATGATATATATATAAAATATTTATTTCAAATTACCTTCTTTACACACATATAGAATCACTGAACCTAAGTACTGTTCATCGATGAATGGCACATTATGTAACAACTTATACAGTACACAGCGTATAGCTTTTATCTTTTCTTCCTGGGCACTTCAATTGTCCAACTTTGGAAATTTCGGTTCACGTAAGGGACACTACAGAAAAAACACAAAAGAGATTCAATTATTACTTCCCGATTTCGTTAAATATTGATACCAGATAGAACATAGAATAAAGAAAGTTTCCAAAAAAATTAGGCTTTTGTGCTCCTTGTTATGCCTTCTTATTATTTGACACTTCAGATTCTGGTTTTTAAGGACCAGAAATAAAGCGAAACTTTTTTTCTGCCTGGCTACCTTCTTATTTATTTATTATTTTTTTACTTCCGGCCTCTTTCAAATTTGATAATAGTAAAATAAGAGATTTCTATTTAATATATGAGCAAAAAATTTTCAATAAAAGATGAAGTTAAGAAAGCAACCCTAATGAACAAAAACATTATAAAACCATTTTAAAACAGAAAGAAAATTATAAAACTTGCAAGACGAGAACAAAAGCAGTTTAAAGTTTTTTTTTGTTGGTTCATTGGATGTCTTGTAGAAGTTTTTAGTCTATTAAGTCTACATTCAAATGCCAAAAAATTGAGTAAGTTTTGTACTTAATTACGTAATGTAGATGTGAGTAATTGAATGACTAATTACTGATAACTTTTTAGATTTGATTTAAATAAAATTAGTATATTTCTATTAATTTTCTTCCAATTTTTAATTGTACGAAATCTTTCTTTGCTTGATCATGCCTATTTTGAGAAATGACTCACAAAACATAGTACGTCAAACAAATTTATGTAGATATAAAAATGAACGTACTAAAAGTTTCTGTAACATTTACAGAAACTTTAAATCAGATCTTATTTAATGGTAACTAAGTATTGCCATTTATTATTATTAATATTTTTTATTGTTAACTTGTGGTTAGAATTGAAAATATATTATTAATAAAATAAGTATATACCTATATAATGTAAAAGTATTTAGCTAAGTTCATAACAACATTTTTGAGTTTGTGTCATGGTGACAAATGAAAAAAGTACTACTAAAAAAAATATCAGTCAGAACATGACTAATATAATAGACATAATAGATAAGCATTAGAAATATTAATAATTATAATTAAACGATTCTGATTAATTTTGAGTCATGCTCTGACTGATATATTTGTTTGTAGTATTTATACTTAAAGAAATTTGTTAAATTACAGAAATCTGCAACTCTAAGTGTTAGTTCTAAAAATTAACACTGCTATCGTTGCAAAAGAGAAAATCGAGATCAAGTGTTAAATATCTCTAAATTTACAAAATATTAGGAAATAATAGAGTATATACAACCTTAAAATGATTTTAACCAAAATTTAGGTTGAACCCAATTCCCCACCTTAACAAAATAAATATTAACATATACACATGTCAGTTAGGTTGCCTATAGTATATAAGCTGACAAACCCTATACAGAGAATCAGAATGCGTTAAAACTCCCTAAAGCATCGATTGTACTCCCATTTTTAAAACCCTAAAATACTGATTAATTCTTGTTTTAGATCCCAAACACAATATATCTTTGGATTATTAATAAAAATTTTGAGATTTCCGCCCATACACAACGATCATCACGTCTACAACCTTTCAAGGTAAGAAATTCTATAAACATAACGTGTTTTTTTTTTTAATATAAAAATAACCCATCGATCTCAACATTTTTCTTTCGAACCGCACGTTTCAATCGTTCATACTGAAATGATGTTTAAAAAAAACCGGGTTCAAAGAGATAATGAAGTTGCTCGACCAGTTTTTAGATCTAATATAGCTATGACCTCTAAAGTTTTTTTTCTTTTTCATTTAATTTAATGTTTAAACCGGGAAATACCGGAGCCACGTCATTCGGTTTTTATAAACTGTGGTTAAAATAAGTATAGTAAATTCTCTATACTGTGGATTAACACGGAGAAGAGGGTATTATACCCAAAAAAAACTGAAGATGTACGACTAAACCCGAAACTTTCTAGTTCTAAATCTAGTGTTGGTTCTAGTTTAATGAAAAATATAGAACTATCTAACGCCGAATAACAACTAAAACTAGAAACATTGAAACAAAAGAAAGTATATTTTGAAACAAAACATACTTTTTTGTTTTTTGTTACGTCATTTCTATTAAAAAAAAATTATTACCTCTGATTTATTGTGGTTCTTGTTATTGTATTTTTGACGACTCTGGAAAATCCATAGAATAATATCGATTTTAGAAGACGCAACATACAATAAACAACAAGATAACGTAAAGTTGTTGGCGTTTCGACGAATTTGATGATAAACTGAAACTAAATACATGATGTTGGGTTTTCAAACGAAATAATGTATTAAAAAACAACAAAGTCCCCGTTTTTATTCGTTTCGTATTTTAAATATTCGATTCTTGATAACCTTCGAACCAGTATTCATTTTAATTTTTCTCGTCGTGGACGGTTCTCGGCAATTATCGTCAGTAGTTCTTTCGTGCGCGTCCCGGTCAGTGCTAAAGCAACAACGTCAATCATGAAGAGTAAGTTAATTTAAATTTGCTTTATTAATTCAATTCATTGCAATAAATAACTCGATTATTGTTACGTAAACAACTTTTTGATTCAATAACATCAAAAAAAAATTATTTTTTTTTTTGGTAATCTTGTGGCTTCTTTTTTGTTGTTAAAATTAATAATGTATAAAGCAATAAACATCAAGGTTAACGCCATAAATGTTCTTAAAAACCAGTCGAGAATGAACAAGTTCTAGATTTAACATCAAGGTGATGTTTTTAAGATGATCTTTTTCGTGTTTTTTAATCTCCAACTTTAATCTTAAGTGGAATTTAAAGTTGATTTAATATTTTCTTGTTAATCTTCCTTTTTTGTTGTGAAACATGATAGTGTAACTAAAGATAACTTTAGTATATAAGGTGCTCAAAAGTTATTGAACATTTTGATTTTATAAACATGTTTATTGTTTTTAAATTATCTTATGGTCGTTTTTTCAATAGGTACAATATAATTGCCGTGGAGTAATTGTATTGTATTGTTCTTTTTAAAAACAATCAATCATAAAAAAGGATTTTATTCAAAACATCTTTAAAAGTTGGCCAAATATAAATGAATAGAACTATTCCCGTTTTAAATTTTACTGTGGCCTGAATGTAAATTGTTTGTTTTGTTTGAACCCGTTACAAACGATTTTTACGTAAAACCGATGTCCTACATTTGTTTAACCTTAATTTTTACCTCAGTTTTATATTTCTATTTATTTTTGCACGTTTTTGCAATAATACGTTGTAGTAATCATCTGTTTAACCTTTAACAACAACGAAATCGGTTAAAACATTCATAAAGGACATTTTGTTGATAAACTTTCTTTTTTTAATGATGTGTTCTTTATTTAATATTTGATTAAGTCATTGGATAACATTTATTATTAGTCAAATTTGATTTGTAATATTAACATATAACAACATAAATTTGACAAATCTATCACCTTTTCGATTCCCTATTTAAAAATACTACGATATAGGTATTATGCGATACATAAATATTGAATGTTATGAGTAAACTGATAAAATTAATGAAATCAAGGGCGATATGACTCACTTTATGAATTCTTTTAATATCTAGATATATATCTAGTAGTATAAATAGTTAAAATTGATTAAAAAATAATTTACATTTTTATTGATGATTTTAATCAATGTCTAATAAAAATTTTTAAATTATTTTAGATTGTGTCATATCAATCTAAATGATGATACCTAAAGTTATTTGTTTTTAATATTATACAGTGTTGTGACCTGTTATGTAACCTTTTATAAACCTAATAATTAAATAATCAATTGGATTAACTATGTCCTTGACCTTTGGGATAACTACCCGGGATGAGATTGGGGTCTTTGTGCCAAAAATCTTTCGCGCTTCTCCAAAAACTCTAATCCATATCTTCTGCGAAGCAATTTTCTTTCAAACACCCTCAATGCGTTTTCATCTGCGGTATTCAACATCCTTGTTTCCTTTGGCTTTCTTGAAAGCAATGAATAGGAAGTGGATATCTATGCTACACTCACAGCATCTCCCTAAGGTCTGCCTAACTACGAAAATTTGGTCTATTATAGACTTATTGTTTCTGAAACCACACTAGTATTCCTCTAGTATTGTCTCCACCTACGTTTTTACTCTTTCGTCTATTATGTTTGATAATACTTTGTTTTCTATATTAAGGAGGATTGTGCCTCTGTAATTATCACATACAGATTTGTCTCCTTTTTTATGCAGAGGAACGATTTTTCCATCTTCCATTTCTTGGGAATCCTTTCTTCCTCCCAGCAGGTTGTTATCAGTTTATGGAGTCTTATTTCTGTTGCCTTGGAGCCAATATTTAGAAGAACTAATTTTTAGAAGATCAGCAGTGTGCTATCTTCTTCGGGGAAGAATATCTCACATACAGAATTTTTATAAAGGATATTTTGCTCATGTACTTATTACCTTGCCTTCTTACAGCAAAAGCTTGAAAATAATAGCTCATCTACTCTTTGCGACATGCGGTTCCAAATATAATGTATTTAATACATATTTACAAAGAATACATGTAATACATGTACATATCACAGTATCAATTGCAAATTCCGAAAATATCTTCTGCGAGTATTTCCGTTATTAATTGTTTTAAAATTGAGGTTAGTTTCAAAATTAATCTAACGGTTAATTTGTCTTTACCTCTTCATTTAGTTGTTTCATATCTGCCCACATATATTTTGTAGGCTATAGGGGTTCTTGATTCTTACATTCGAAGTACTTGATTTAAAACACGTCAAGTTATAGTCTCTTTGAAAGTAAAATACCCTAAAGAACAGATTTAGCTCCTATTTGTCCAAATATCTACTAGTGGCGCTTTTCAAAACGTAAAACTAGAAACTTTGGCCAAAATCCCTATTTTAAGCCAAAACTAAAACTTCAGAGTTGCTCATTCTGACATCATCTAGAAATCTGTATGTTTAAAGTCATAAATAATAACAGAACAATAACAATGATTTCAACAAACGCTGACGCTTGTTAAGTGAATTATTCTTTGTTCAAGGAGAACTTTAATTTGTCTTCTTTTACTCAGTATATGGAAAAACCCCTTACTCTCAATTTACACATTTATTACCATTTTTTATCTTCCGTGCGTTCATGAATGATCGATGGTCTTATAACAAAACATAATTCCACGCAAAAAATGCAATAATTCTTATGGACATTACACAAGATAAACCAGATAGCTAATATAATAATGGAAATTCCAACCACATGTTTGTGGTTTTGCATTTACTACGACTTCTCTAATTAATTTCTTAAAATTTTTATATACGTTTTAATGATTCAATCGAATTTTATGCGATTCCATGTGACAACTAATCGCTTCACAATCATAAAACGTGTATGTAAAACAATTCAAGATAAACCACAAATGATTTAATTAAGAAACAAAAGCAACGATCCATTTGTGGTTTATCTTTACGCAAAAGTGACAATGACATATTCAATTAATTTGACAAATATGTTAAAGCTATAAGAAACGGTTCAAAAAGGTTGTTAACAAAATCTTGAAAAAATATCTAATAAATGCTATGAATTTTGATTATCCCATTCTAATAAGTAAATAAAATAATCGTTTAACCAAAAGCTGCATAACTAATAATGTTGTTTTTTATTTTTCAGTTTCGTGTTTTCTTTTGGTGGTTTCATTCTTCGTTTGTACGATGGCAGGAAACGATTTATTAACAGCGACCGAAGTGTCTAACGGAAATACAAAATTCACATCGAATTTATATCAAATATTAGCAAAAGAACCCGGAAATGTGTTTTTCTCACCAATTAGTGCTCATGCAGTGCTCTCTATGATCTACCAAGGAGCTTCTGGGGCGACAGCTGAAGCTTTAAGAAAAAATCTGTATCTTCCAGAAGTAAAAGCGACAGCCACTGGTTATAAAAACATTATGACCGAGTTGAATTCAGTTGAAAACGTGACTTTGCACATTGCCAATAAAGTCTACATAGCAAATAAGTATCAATTGAATGATAATTTTAAACTTACCGCTACCAAGGATTACTTGGCTGAAGCACAACCATTGGATTTCAAACAAAGTGTAGTAGCCGCTAAAGAAATTAATACTTGGGTTGAGAATAAAACCAACAATAAGATTAAAGATTTAATCCAACCAGACGATTTGGATGAATTAACCCGTTTGGTTTTGGTCAATGCTATTTATTTCAAGGGCAACTGGTTGCATCAATTCCCAGTTGAACACACCAGAAAAGAAAAGTTTTATTTGAACGATAAAGACTCCGTCCTTTGCGATATGATGCATTTAACCGATCATTTCGAATACGCCGAAGATACCGAATTAGATGCTAAGATTTTGAGAATGCGCTACACCAACAAAGATGTCAGTATGGTTATTGTTCTTCCTAATTCGAAGACTGGTATTTTCGCTTTAGAACAAAAATTGGCCAACAAAGATTTAACAACGTTGACGAGCCAATTAGTTTCTCGCGAAGTAATCGTTTCATTGCCTAAATTTAAAATTGAAACCACCATTGATCTTAAAGATTCCCTTGAAAAGGTAAATATAATTTTTTTTATTAAATTATTCATTATTAATTTTATTTTCTTTTATTTTCAGTTGGGTATGGGTGTTATATTTTCTGATGCGGCTGAATTCCCCAATTTAATTAAAGGGGATGAACCGCTTAAAGTTTCAAAAGCTATTCAAAAAGCTTTTATCGAAGTAAACGAACAAGGAGCTGAAGCAGCTGCAGCAACTGGTAAGTCAAATAAAAAAAATTTAAAAAAATAGTTTTTTTTTGTTGTATTTACGGGGGCTTTTGCATGGTCTTTTGTACTTTGCGCTTTTTTGTGCTTTTTACTTCCTCTTATTATCGCCTCCCAAGCTTTTATTTCATTTATATCTATTTATTAAATTTTAATTTAAATAATTTTGTTAATGATGCACCGCTTATTTTAATTTTTTTAAATCTAAAATCAACACGTGCACTATTTTCAAATGAAATCACTTCCACCTGGGTTGTTTATAAAATAATGTAGAAAGAGAAAAACCTCCGTTGGACGTATCCCTTTCTTTTAGGGAGCATCGTGAGGTTGAAGCGGTCCATGAATTACGAAAAAGACACGTTTAAAGTCGATAGATCATTCGCGATTTACATCATTGGATCGGAAGGATTAATTTTATTTACGGGAAAAGTAACGGAAGTTCCGAGCTATGAAAGTGCTCTTCATGAGGAACTTTAACTTCCAATTCTTCAAATATTTTTTTAAATCTATTTTTCTTTGTTTATTTAAAGTTTTAATCGTTTAATACTATTTTTTATAAAATTTATCAATATTTTTGTGACCCATTCTTTGTAAAATGTGTTTTTTTAATTGTGATCAAAAAAGGTAAGTAATACTAAATTAGTTAGTTATTTAAAGTATTATGAAATCTGTTATTTCATTTATACTTCATCGCGTTTTTTAATGACTCAAACATTATAAAATCTACATAAAATCACTTATATTTGCAATTAATGGAATGACTGAATTTGCTTTGCAATGGGGAAACTGTTAATGCTTGCGAAAATTAATTCTAGTAATTATTTTTGCCGACAGTTGCTGTCTTTAAGCTACGTACAAGACCTCAATTTGTTGTTCCAAAGCCGGAATTCATTGCGGATCATCCGTTTCTGTTTATTACGCAATTTCATGGAGATAATGATATAACCGTTAATTTATTTTTTGGATCATATTTACCCAACAAAGAATTTGACTGAATCTTTTACTCATAATTAACGAAGAATTAATTAATTTTAGTTATCACTTTTTTTATTAACGATTTTAGTTCAAATAGAAATTTATTTTAATAATGATAAATTAGTTTATTAATAATAAATTCAAATGTTATACTTTATTCAATTTTTTATAAATCAAACAGTTTCCGTTTGCTTTTTGTTTGTCTTTAGATGCTGAAAATCCTCTAAGTCAGCTTACATGTTCAAAAAAGAATTCTAACTAAAAGAAACAGCATCATGTTTTTTGAATACTTTGAAATTATTGAATTCCTCTTGGGTTTCTTTGTCGATTAGGTATAATTATTTTAATGAAACAAACGTTTCTCCTGAAACAACGGTTTTATTTCATGGAAAAATCGACGAACCAGTCCAGTTCAGGCTTGAAACCTTGTTCTTGTTAATGTTGTGTAGTTTAATTGATTTATATAATTTTAATTTATTAGTTAATTTTTGTTTGCGTTTAACACACGAATAGACAGAATAAATATTGCTTAAAATGTGTTAGTTTTAATCATCATAAAACTTAAAAGGTCGTTGAATGAGATTATTTATTGCGTCATTCACACTTTTAGTATTTACATTAAAACTCGTAATTATAATAAAAATAAGTAGTTGTTTTATGGAAAACTTGAACAACCTCAAAAAATTGATTAGATTATATTTTAATAAAATTAAAATTGCAAGGATTTAGATGAGAATCTCTATCAACCATCTAAAAACAGTTATTTTTTGGTAACATCACATTTTCTACTTGTTTGTTGTTATCTGTAGTCACAAATGAATTCAATCTTTAACATTTTTTAATTGATCTTTGTATCATACACCAAATTTCATATTGCCATAACGTACAACTTACACCTATATCTTCAAGGATTGCAAATAAATAAAAAAAGTTTGGAAATATTGTTTGTCTATCAGCAGCTTCAATAGGAACTTATTTCTCTTCGTAATGTAAATGATACATGTATGGACATGATTTTATTAACATTCATGTTTCTAATCATTTCTGAATTTTATTTAAGTTTGTTTGAAACTTCTTATGGCTAAGTTTGGATTAATAAGATATGGAAGGATCAACGACAAAGAAGAGCTAACATCAGACCAAACACGCAAACTTGAGGAAAACCCCAGTATGGAGAATACAATCTTGCCCATTATTTTGTTCAACCATAATGTGTTGCGGAACTTGTTAGGTGCTGGGGAAGAAATCGGATAGTTGATTTCTTTCATTATAACCTAACCATTTTAATTATATGTATGTTGTCCAACAAAACCAATTAGAATAGCATGTCTAGAAAGTTAATTATTTCTTTTTCTTCATCAGTAGATAACTCTAAAAGGAAAGGTTTGAATACGATTAGGTGTTTTGACAAATTTATGGCTTTCCATTTATTATTTATTTTTCTACTATTGTTTCTATTTTTGATTGGAGAACTGTGTTGCTGTGGTCTCTCCAATCTTTTCGTTTGCTCCGTGACTTTGTTTGGCATAAGATTTTTTAAATCTATATACCTTGAATTTGTTCTATTTGTACTAAGTCTTTCAGTTCCTTAGTAGCTTTATTTAACTTTTCGTTATTTTCAGACGCTCTGATTTGCTACCATCTTTTCCAAAATTATTAATTTTTCAAATTTTCATAACTGCATCTATTGCATAAATGGAACCTACAGCATTTTTTTACTGACAGTTGACTTGATTAATTGTGTTATTTTAAGATATTTTTTATTCTTCTCTGATTTTTCCTATCAAGGACAAATAGTGTTCTACATGTGACTGATTTGTTTAAATTGTTGAAATTTCTGTGTGTAAAGTGACAAAGTTCAGTGTGTGTCGTAATTTCGGTTGGTAATGAATATTTCGGTACTGAATCTCTCTAAAATATACAATATGAACATCTCGACATTCGAGTGATGTAACTTTTACGTATGGAATTGCCAATGGTAATTTGTGTTTTCGTCATGGTCTGGATGAAACGTTCCAAAGAAGTCATCGTATTCGTGCAACAGACATCTTCCAGTAAGGTGGAGGAATGGGCAGACCAAATAAAGTGATAACGAGAGGATTGGTACATTATCAGCAACAATTGGCGCAGATTCTTTTAAGAGTTTTAGACGTCTATTATAAGTCATAATAACTTGATCGTTTCAAGTATCAATGCATATTTTAGTATGGTTGCTCATAATGTTTTAAGATTGGTTGAAGTGAATCTCACTAATGGTCTACTTGATTCTCATACTTGAACTATCTGGACTTTTTTCTAAGAAGCCGTTTGAAGACATTATTGCATTGCAGACGAAAAAGGAGGAGATTTGAGAAATCGAATACTTAATGCAAGTTATGCAATCAAAAGTACTGGTATTTCGGAACGGGATTAAAAACATTTACCCACCCTATGTGATGGATGAGTACCATTCAGCAGTTTTTCTAAAACACGAATATTTATTGTTTGCTAATCGCTTCTTAATTTTCAAAATTTACTATAATAGAAAATATCATCGTTATTTTTTGTCTCTATTTATACCTGTTCTGCTTTAGCAACTTTACATAATGATTTTTTGAAATATTCATTTAAGTAAATATATGTATAAATAAAGAAATGTGAAATTTTGATTTCGTCGTGGATAATTTATTTGAGCAAGTTATTCAAATACGCTTGTCACATTTGCCTTCTTACTTTTTTTAAAGAAGGGAAGTTAGTTCTATGCTAAATATCCTTTCCTATTATTTATTTACTTGTTTCACGCGCAATATTCGTTGATTTTGATAGCTAAATTATTGAACCAATTAAGCTTAAAATCTTTGTTTTGTTTGTTTTTTCGTTGTTGTTACTCAAATTATTATATATCTAATGTCGTATAATTAATTTTTTTATTAATTTCACAATTTACAAACACCTAAAGCTAAATCTACTATTACACACGCAAACTAGTACACATTTTTCTTTTTATAATACATCATAAAATGTTTTAGCTGTAATCATGATGTGTAGAAGTCTTCCTATGAGAAAACCTGATCCAATGGTTTTTAATGTTGACCATACTTTTATTATTTATATTGAAAGTGCTAACAACGAAAGGAAAAAATGTTTGTTTTATGGAAAAATTGAACAACCTATAGGAAATTGAGAAATTTATTATCACGTTCTTGTTGTTAACTTAATAATATTTATATTATTTGTATATTGATGTTGAAATTTCTATATTAATGACAATAAATTAATCAATCTTAATCATTTTTTTTATCTTTGAGGATTCATGCATTTATGTTATTTGAGTCAAGATTTAATATTTAATATTTATATTAAATATAATGCGATTAAGTAGTGCTCGAGCTTTTAAAACTTTCTTATTTATTCGCATTTTAATTTTTATTTAAAAAAAATGTATAAGAAAAACCGTACAATTTTGAATGTGTACAAATGACTGTTTTATCAAATAATCTTTTAGGTGTAGTATTAGAAATGTTTATGACGATGACAATTTTGGACGAGTTCCTCGTCGAATATCCGCTTGTCGCTTACATTGAATGTTGTGCCAAAAAAGATAAACCTAATGTTTTGTTTTTGGGGAAAGTTACTAACCCTAATAATTAAAAAATATATATACAGGTGTGCTCCATACATAATTCACAAGCTAAACCAAAATGTTTTAGTTATAATTACGAAGAAATGTATTTCTAGAAGGAAACGTCGTGAACCATTGATTTTTAACGTTGACCATACCTTCATAATATATATTGATTCTCATAAAGAACATGAAAAATCAATAACAAGAATGTTGTTTTATGGAAGAGTTCATTCATTATTCACTTAGAAATTTCTTAATTGATATTTAATGTTTATTGTATTAGATGTTATGCTTTCAATTTTTGTTATGTACGCTACTAATCGAATTAAAAATATCAATACAATCAGGAGTTGTAATTAGAACAATGCGAATATGTTATAAATATATGATAAAATATGATAATTTTTTAGGTTTAATGGTTATGTTATGTTCAATGCCAATTTTGGAAAACTTTAACGTTGATCATCCGTATATCATGTATATTGAAACACGCACCCAGAAAAATGATTCTAAAGTTTTATTTTGGGGAAAAATTTCTAATCCTAATAACAATTGAACACCACATCATAAATTATATTAAAGGAAATTAATTGATGTAAAAATTAATAATGTTAATCAAATTGGCTTCAATAAAAAATTGAGTGTTTAAATTTTAATGTAAAAATTAATGATTACTGTGCATGTCTTAATGCTTTCGAAGTACTTGAAAATGTTTTTATCGTCTGGCTTCAAAAACCAATCACATTTGTTGTGTAGATTTTAATCAAATATAGTTTTAGTTGTCTGTATGGATAATTGCATAACTAAGGCACCAGATGAAGTTTTTATTGACCATCCATTTATAATATGTATAGAAAATCGAAAGTCTGTAAACACAAATGGAAGTATTTTATTCTTCGGGGTTATTTCTAACCCAAATGTTTAAAAATTATAATGCCAAATAAATCTTAGCTTTATATATTTTCTGTTAATAATAATAATTTTTTGAAATTGCCAAAAATATTCTTTTTAACTGTTTTCCTATAAAATTTCCTCAAGAATGTTTAAAATATGTTATATAACGTCGAGCAATTGTTTTGCTTTTACTTAGTTTTGGTACAACCTACCATGATAGATACTTTTCATTCCTTGATATCTTCACCAAAATCCTCATTAGAACCTATAATATAGACAGCAAATAAACTAAGTAAGACTCCATTTTAGTCCTTTGCGATTTCAAATGCAACCCTCAAATCAATAAAAAGGTTATATAGTATATAATATGCTTTAGGAAATAGATTATGTGTATTCCCGCTTATCGGTCTAGAAAGAGAGAAGAAAACTTAGAAGCTTGGAGAGGACTTGATTCAGAAATGATGAAGGCTATATGGGGTTGCCTTGATGCAGACACGATGATGGTATGAGTTAAAGCCGATATTATGACAGAGGCATAATTGATGGTCTTCATAGATTGACTATGACTTGGCTTGCTAGAAAGAAGGCGATAACTTGCTGCAGAAATGATATAGATTTTATACAGAGTTGTCTCGATAGAAATTTCAAGGAAGTTTGATTCAAACAATATTGTCTCAATTTTATAGAATCTATCTTTTTTGGAGGCATAATGGAGATGCGATGTTGACTTCAAAAACTTGATACAAATTTATTAAGGAATCTTTGATGATTTTATGCAATCTTAAAGGAGCTTTAATGCGCTCATAGATGCAGTGTTGATAGAGACCCTATAGAAATATGACGCAGTCTTGATAAAAAGACTCTATAACTAATCTTGATAGAAACAAGGCAAAATTGTCAGAATTGACGAAGAGCTGATTTAGGCATAATGAACATATAAAGCGGACTTAATTCATGCTTACCGTGTATGAAGATTTTAAGCAACCTTGAAGCCGTCCCGCTGCACTTTTAGATTCAATATTGATGCACATATAGAGATATGACCCAATATTAATATAGTCTTGATAGAAACCTGACTTGGCTTGATAGAGCCAAAGTAAACACTTGACGTGGAGATGATGTAGACTTTAGATAGTAGATAGTTGTCTTGATGCAGACATGATGGAGATTTGATGTAGGTATTATAGTGATGTAACTCGGATTGATGTAAATTCTTTGCGGTTACGGTGGTCTTTCCAGTTTTTAACCAGTCTCTCCAAACCTTCCTATGCCATTCTGATTCTTCTCTTTATTTCTTGTTCTGAGCCGTCCCTTTTATTATTTTCGTGCCTAGTTCAATGATCTCATCCTTAACATAGTCTACTCGCCCGGTGTATAATCAACAAGTGGCTCGATTCGATGGAGTTCGAACATTTCTTGTTCACCTTTAGCCGTTGCCACAATATCATCTGCGTATCGATGATATTATAATCATAATTATCGTAAAACCAATGTTGAGTATTGTTGCAAACGTTTGTTTATCTCATGTCTCTTTGTAGTTTTATTTATATCGTGCCGTTTTTGGTTCTTGTCACTCAAGAAGATTATGAAAACAATTTGATAATCAGAATAAGAATTAAAATTCCAGCTTAATTTTCTGTGTTGTTTTGTTGTCCTTTGTTATGTATCTATATTGATTATTAATAATTATATCATATAACTACGGATTTTAATGAATCATACTTTTTAGGTTTAGTTATGGCAACATTCACATGTGTTATGAAACCACCACCTGCAATGTTTAACGCCGATCATTCTTTCATCAGTTTTATCGAAAGTCGTAACGGCAACAAAAAAGATGTTTTATTTTATGGGAAAATTGCTGACTTAAAAGAATAAATACTTTAATTTTTGTCAGAATTATTCAAATCTTTTTTGTTATATCATTTAATTAAATCTGGGTAAGTTAAGTTTAACAAAATAATATCGAATTAAGGAGCTTCTTAATTGCACGTTTCGCTTAATTGTTTGTTTCATTCAATGTCGTTATAATTTTTTATAGATTTGGGGAAATTTAATTCAATTTTTGTTGGTTTCTTCTTTTGCTCGTTTAGGTATCGTTGTCAGGGGTCGTAGTGCACATTTTATGCGAAGAAAACGAGAATTCAGAGCGGACCATTCTTTCCTAATCGCAATTATCACGCAAAATTCGGTGGTTTTATTCAATGGAAAATTCGATGAACCAATTGATTAACTTAAATGTAAAACTTTAAATTTAAAATTGTTTGATTCTTTTCTTACTCGATTCTTTAATATTAAGTTTTTTCTTGTGTTACTTCTTGTGAATGTCGATCAATTCCTTGAAATTTATTTATCGTTTCTTGTGAATACAGTTCTAATTCATTAAAAATTTCTTCATCTTTAATGACGTTATTTTTTAGAAATCGTATTAGGAGTTAGATGCGCAATGCCAACAATATTTCCACCTGAATTTAATGTTGATCATCCGTTTATAATTTATGTTGAGTTATATAAAAGTGAAAATATTAACGTACTTTTTTATGGTAAACTCCAAGTACTTGATTAATTCGATTAAAAATTAGTTTTAGTATTGTTCTTCAATAAAATTGATACATTAAAAAATTTATTACATTTATTTAAAATATCCTCCATTAATATAGAAATTAGCGCTATTAAATATTATTATTTTTAGTATTAATGGTAGGATTTGGATCAGCTCCAATGCGAAGACCACTTCGGATGAAATTTACTGTTGATCATCCTTTTATTGTTTATATTACTTCACGTAAAAACGAAAATATTGCTATGCTTTTTTATGGTAAAATTCAAAATATTTAAAGGATTAAAATAACTTTAAATCAATTTCCCATTTTTTGAAAGATGTGAAAAAAATGGTTAATTATATTTTTAATAAAATTTTATAACAAGATTTCTGCTAAGTTTCTTTAAAATCACCTTCATTTAATAATTATTAAAAAAAAAATTGTTATTTGCTATATTCGATACATTTTTCTCAATTCTAATTAACGATAAATGAATGAATTCTGACATTGTCTTAATAATAACCATTTCTTAAGTGATTCTTCTGCAAAATGAGTTCTATGGTGTTTGTCTAAATCGATTCATTTTTTTAAGAAATTAAAATAAGGTTGTTTTGATTACAAGTCATCTTTTTCTTTCTAGCGTTAATCTTTTTGGAGTCGGCGTTTGTATCTTCTCTAACTTTTACCGTAGAACATCCCTTTATTGCATTCATCGAGGATCGAATTGCAGAAAAATCGGATGTTTTATTTTTTGGAAAAATTGTTGATCCTTCTACATAAATTTAATTAAGAGATTGTGTTATCTAAGTATTCTTCGTTTCGTAATTTTTAATTTTTGTCGTATTATTCCATAACAAACTCAATAATCTTCTTATATTTGTTATAATTTTCTTCAATTTTTATAAATTTATTGTAAAAAATACAATTCAATAAATTTATTTTATAAAAAGACTTTTACTGTTTTATCAAACTTTTTTGACTTGTATACAAATTTCCTCACAAAAGTCCAAAGATATATTTTATCATCTCATCGTCTTTCACAAACATAATACACAGTGCTTCAAGGTAAATGTGAGCACGAACACAGTGCTTTCCCAACCAGTATGAATATTTAGACATTGGCCATATCCATTAATTTTTTCATTCTGTAATCTTTGATATCACATTCTCGCCTAGATTATCCTTTTCAACACTTCTATGGCACAGAGAACGAGGTTGCTATAGACTATTTTCAGAGAAGATCAAATCATTTTTTATGTTTACCACTTTATTTAAAGTTAAATATATGATAAAACCCAACTAATAACAAAAGCCAAACAGCCTGAATTTGAGCTTTGTTGAGAAATTTATTAATTTATGTCAATATTAAAACGACATTGCCTGTGACCAACGTTAAGTTATGTTTTCAACATTATACTGCTTTGTTTCGTTTTTCGTTCTTTATGAAAGAGCTCCAAAACTGTATTTATTTCTAACTTGGCTTTGAGATGAGTGAGATAAGCTAAACATTGTAACAATCTGGAATCAGTTAGTCTTGATGACATGTTTACCACAAGTGATATCAAACGAGCTGAGCACGACTTTTAAAACAAAGAAAATTTGTTTTCTTACGGATTGTATTCATCGTAACAACACTCCCAGATGCCTGTTGAAACTTCTGGAATGTATGATCCAACCATTGGGTCGCTTTCTAAATACTCCGGATAACACTCGTCGGTCTTTATCTCCCAGATTTGTGGATCTACCAACTCGAGGAATATAGGTCACTATCGAAATCATATAAATATGTACTGCATGGCATCTTACATGCGAATAAAGCCAATGTTTTTAACTACACCTGGACCCAGAAGTCGGCATTTTCATCAGTATATATCCTGAATGGACCTTCTCCAAAATTCTACCAATTGTTTATTCACAATTAGATAGGTGCACGAAGCTATCACATTATAAAATACAACACAATATAACAATTACGCTATCACAATATAATTATCATTGTTGTGCCATCAGGTTGTTTCATTCTATCACGAGTTATATGCGTAAAATATTGGTCCTAAATATTAAGCATCTTTGTTTCCAAACAAAGGATACTGATTATCTTTCAAACCTAATCAAAATTTTCTCTTTATATAGGTTATGCATTATTCTTCTTGACATATTCATAAGTAAAGCTAATATTAACACAACTGCAGTTTTTGAATTACTTTGAGATGGTGATTTATAAGAATGTAAGAACTGGTTTCTTGATGCACTCAAAAATAAATGGAAAGAGGATAGTTTATACTATGCTGAGGTAATAAACACATATCTAAATCACAGAATAATAGTTATTCTGTGTCTAAATCCTGAAAAGTACTGAAAAAGATCTCTTTATTCCATGCATTTCCAGAAAAACGGATTAATCTTTACACAGATGTGTTCGGTTTGACGACATGAGAAAGCAAACTCAATACCTAAATAACTTTGAATTTACCATGTATTTATTTGTGATTAAAGAAATGAATAACTCAATTCAAACTACTTTG